CGAGGTCAGGAGATCGAGACCATCCTGGCTAACATGGTGAAACCCCGTCTCTATTAAGAAATACAAAAAAAAAAAAAAAAAAAAAAAAAGAAATACAAAAAAAACTAGCCGGGCAAGGTGGCGGGCGCCTGTAGTCCCAGCTACTCGGGAGGCTGAGGCCGGAGAATGGCGTGAACCCGGGAGGCGGAGCTTGCAGTGAGCTGAGATCCGGCCACTGCACTCCAGCCTGGGTGACAGAGTGAGACTCCGTCTCAAAAAAAACAAAACAAAACAAAACAAAAAAAAAACAGATGAAAAAAAAAGAAAAAAGGATGTGAAGGGCTAAATTTGAACACTTTCCAGGTAGTTTTCAGCATCATGCTTTGGTGGAATCATGGTTTTGTGGCTAAGTGGGGTTGCTGCATATTACATTCCTGCCTCTTCCTTCCCCCAGCCTTAGTTGTCTTCATTATATTCATGCCTGGGAAGTGTTCCCAGTGACCTGAGTTAGGCATTAAGATCATGGGAATCCAAGATTTTCCCATGTCTTCTAGCATATTTGTTCACAAGAAAAGGAAAATTTCCTCCTTGCAGCAAGGCGTTTTTAAAACAGTCAGTCACTGTGGAATCTTTCACTAAAAAATCCTTTGAATAGAAATGTGGTCAAGGAGAGGAAAGGTATCAGCAGTGATACTACCTTACGATAGTGTATTTCATAGCACTTGAAGTACCTTCTTATTTGTTTATGGTAAGATGGTAGGCAGAGAGTTAGTGATTTGCCTATTGTAACATATATGTGGTAAATGCCAGAGAGGGCATTCTGGACTTCTGTTAGTTGGGATTGCTTTTGACTACAGTTGACAGAAAATGTGACTATAATGGTTTATACAAAAATTATTATTTTCTGAGATGAAGTCTTACTCTTGTCACCCAGGCTGGAGTGCAATGGAGTGATCTCAGCTCACTGCAACCTTCGCCTCCTGGGTTCAAGCGATTCTCCTGCCTCAGCCTCCTGAGTAGCTGGGATTACAGGCACCTGCCACCACACCCGGCTAATTTTTGTATTTTTGGTAGAGACAGGGTTTCACTATGTTGGCGAGGCTCATCTCGAACTCCTGATCTCAGGTGATCCGCCTGCCCTTGGCCTCCCAAAGTGCTGGGATTACAGGCGTGAGCCACTGTGCCTGGCCTATTTTTTTAATATAAGAAATCTGTTTAGCAGGTCATGGAAAATTGAAAAAAACACCAGACATCTGGAATAGTGTAGCATTATAGGTTTATTTATTTATTATTTATTTATTTATTTTTGAGCCAGAGTTTCGCTCTTGTCGCCCAGGCTGCAGTGCAGTGCTCACTGCAACCTCCGCTGCCTGCGTTCAAGGGATTCTTATGCCTCAGCCTCCCGAGTGGCTGGGGTTACAGGTACCTGCTACCACGCCCAGCTAATTTTTGTATCTTTAGTAGAGACAGGGTTTCACCTTGTTGGCCAGTCTGGTCTCTGAACTCCTGACCTCAGGAGATCCACCTGCATAGGCCTCCCAAAGTGTTGGGATTATAGGCGTGAGCCACCGTGCCTGGCCTATTTTTTTTTCCCCCAGCCTATTTATTTTTTTTAATAACAGCTTTTTGTCTGTTTTTTTAAATGAGCATTCATTTGTATAATAAGGGTTTAAAGAAAGGTGTTAATTAACCTTGTTTTTGTTTTTTTGTTTTTTTTTGAGACAGAGCGTCGCCCTGTCACCCAGGCTGGAGTGTAGTGGCATGATCTTGGCTCACTGCAGCCTCGGCCCTCCCAGGTTCAAGAGATTCTCCTGTTTCAACCTCCCAAGTAGCTGGGATTACAGGCATGTGCCACCATGCCCGGCTAATTTTTTTGTGTTTTTAGTAGAGATGGGTTTCACCATGTTGGCCAGGCTGGTCTCAAACTCCTGACCTCAGGTGATCCATCCGCCCTGGCCTCTCAAACTGCTGGAATTACAGGCGTGAGCCACTGCGCCCCACTAGAAAGGCATTAATTTAAATAAACATTTATTCAGGTGATTACTGGCATCTACCTCCCTTCTAAGATACAGATACTTTTGAGTACATGTTGTTCCCTGGATAAAAACAAATGGCTGGCCAGGCACAGTGGCCCACACTTGGGAGGCTGAGGCGGGTGGATCATTTGAGGTCAGGAGTTTGAGACCAGCCTGGCCAACATGGTGAAATCCTGTCTCTACTAAAAACAAAAAATTAGCCAGCTGTGGCTGTGAGTGCCTGTAATTCCAGCTACTCGGGAGACTGAGGCAGGAGAATTGCTTGAACCTGGAAGGCAAAAGTTGTGGTGAGCCAGGATCATGCCACTGCACTCCAGCCTGGGCAACAGAGTGAGACAACGTCTCAAAAAAAAAAAAAAAAAAAAAGACAAATGGCTCATTGGGATTCATCGGCAAATTATTGGCCAGTGAGTGTGGCCTTTAGGCTATTTATCAGATTACTTTCAGCTATTTTATTTTATTTTATTTTATTTTTTTTTTGAGACGGAGTCTCGCTCTGTCGCCCAGGCTGGAGTGCAGTGGCCGGATCTCAGCTCACTACAAGCTCCGCCTCCCGGGTTTACCCCATTCTCCTGCCTCAGCCTCCCGAGTAGCTGGGACTACAGGCGCCGGCCACCTCGCCCGGCTGGTTTTTTGTACTTTTTTTTTAGTAGAGACGGGGTTTCACCGGGTTAGCCAGGATGGTCTAGACCTCCTGACCTCGTGATCCGCCCGTCTCAGCCTCCCAAAGTGCTGGGATTACAGGCTTGAGCCACCGCGCCCGGCCTCAGCTATTTTATTAATTGACTAGATTGGGCTTGAGTAGGAGCGGATTGTAAACCTACACAGGTTTCCACAGGATAGAGTGCAAAACTTCGTACGTAGGAGTAGGGAGGGGCCTGTTTAACTTGTTCCTTTATCCTTGCTTCTATTCCTATGCTGCATATTGTGCCTCTTATGTGTGTTTCAAAGTCGTCTTCTTTATACTCAGAAATAGTATTTTTTGAAAATATTTCTAAGAAAAGACAACTTATATTTGGCAAAACTGTGTTGAGCTCTTACCATGTATAATGCACTGTGTTAAGTACCTTGATGGATGGATGGATGGATGAGATATACACAAGTAAATAAAATCTATCTTTGTTTTTAGGAACTTTGAGTATACTGGGAGAGACATTTACACAGTTAACATAAAATTGTATGATAAGTGTTAGAGCGGAGATGTAAACAAAGCACGATTGGCTTTGGAGAGGCAACAATTTTGTATGATAGGTGGAAATTGGGAAAGAGTTCACAGAGATTTGAACTGGACTTTGAATGATGGATAAGCTGTTGGTTGGTAGGCATAAAAATTAGTGGTTTATTTTAGAAATTGGGTTATTTAGGGCAGAGAGAGAATAAATTGGGCTAGAGGAGGCTAGAAATGAGAAAATGGTAAATTGAGGGAAAATAATGACATGGTGAATGTAAAACACCTAGCACAGTGTAGATACTTATCAGACTTTGCCTCTTTCTTTTAAAAAACATTTTTAAGGCCGGGCGCGGTGGCTCACACCTGTAATCCTAGCACTTTGGGAGGCCGAGGCGGGTGGATCTTGAGGTCAGGAGATCGAGACCATCCTGGCCAACATGGTGAAACCCCGTGTCTACTAAAAAAAATACAAAAAATTAGCCGGGCGTGGTGGCAGGCGCCTGTAGTCCCAGCTACTCGGGAGGCTGAGGCAGGAGAATGGCGTGAACCCGGGAGGTGGAGCTTGCAGTGAGCTGAGATCGTGCCACCGCACTCCCTCCTGGGTGACAGAGTGAGACTCCATCTCAAAAAAAAAAAAATCATTTTTAAAATTTATTTTATTTTTATTTATTATTATTATGTTTTGCGATGGAGTTTTGCCTTTGTTGCCCAGGCTGGAGTGCAATGGCGTGATCTCAGCTCACTGCAGCCTTCGTCTCCCAGGTTCAAGCGATTCTCCTGCCTTACCCTCCCGAGTAGCTGGAATTATAGGCTCCCCCCACCACGCCCAGCTAATTTTTTTTTTTTTTTTTTTTTTTGAGACGGAGTCTCGCTCTGTCAGCCAGGCTGGAGTGCAGTGGTCGGATCTCGACTCACTGCAAGCTCCGCCTCCCGGGTTTACGCCATCCTCCTGCCTCAGCCTCCCAAGTAGCTGGGACTACAGGTGCCTGCCACCACGCCTGGCTAGTTTTTTTGTATTTTTTAGTAGAGATGGGGTTTCACCGTGTTAGCCAGGATGGTCTCGATCTCCCGACCTTGTGATCCGCCCGTCTCGGCCTCCCAAAGTGCTGGGATTACAGGCTTGAGCCACCGCGCCCGGCCAATTTTTTGTATTTTTTAAGTAGAGACGAGGTTTTGCCATGTTGGCCAGGCTGATCTTCAACCCCTGACCTCAGGTGATCCACCCGCCTCGGCCTCCCGAAGTGCTGGGATTACAGGCGTGAGCCACCGCGCCCAGCCTAAATTTAATTTTTAATTTTTAATTTTATTTTTTTCTTTTTGATTTTTCTTTATATTTGCTGATTACTTACAGATAATTTTTATTTTTTTAGAGATAGTGTCAACTACTTACAGACAATTTTTATCTTTTTAGAGACAGGGTCAACTATTATACTTACAGATAATTTTTATTTATTTAGAGACAGGGTCTCTCTATGTTTTGTAGGCTGGACTTGGACTCCTGGTCTCATGTGGTCCTCCTGCCTCCCAAAGTGCCGGGATTACAGACATGAGCCACTGTGTCTGGCCCACTGCTTTCTAATTCCAAACATATTTACCTCAAGGAGTATCTTTAAGTTACCTGAAAAACTAATTTTTAGGTTGATTGGACAAAGTAAGGCTATTTTCAGTAAATTCTAGGTGGTTTGCAAAATTACCACCATGATAGTAAAACCAAAGTAATGATGGGAATTTACTTAGATTTATGTGCAAACATTTCTTTCCTCAGTAATGATGGGAATTTACTTAGATTTAAGTGCAACCATTTCTTTCCTCAGAAGGTGACCTGCTGAGAAAAGTGGTACAAATACTGGGAAAAACCTGCTCTTCTGCACTAAGTGGGAAACAATGTCACAAGTTAAAAGCTCTTATTCCTATGATGCCCCCTCGGACTTCATCAATTTTTCATCCTTGGATGATGAAGGCGATACTCAAAACGTAGATTCATGGTTTGGTAAGTGCCTGCTTTCTCTGGCTATTTTAAGGGTTAGTGGCTTGCTTTGTGCTGAAGACCTTTCAATAATAGAAGGGGTTGCAAGAAAAGAACTTTTTTGCACCAAGAAAATAACTAAAATATCAACTCCTTTCTGCACCAAGACATTCTGTCATCCATGATATTGTGGGAATAGTTGAAATGCCCAGTATTTGGGGAATGGATTGTAAACACAAATTATATGTTGTTTTGTAGTTCAGAATGGCGGATTTAAGCTTTAGGGACATACGGGAAAGTTCACATGAACCAGTGTTCAGCAAAACTCCATGCTCAAATATGTCTGTAGTGATGGCAGCCACATAAAAACTTTCTCTACTATCATTAGGCATAGATTATATCACAGCTAGGATGTTGACATTCATACAATCTACCAGTTTTACACAGATTTCTCCAGTTTCACTTGTATGTGTATTAAGTTCTCCGTGGTTTTATCACCTGTGTTGGTTAATGTGTCTACCACCACAGTCAAGATATTGAACAGTTCTAGTATCACAAGGAACTATTGTATTGCTCTTTTATAACTACCCTCACCTCCCTCCTGCCACCCCTCCCTCAATTCATTTTTTTTTGGGAGACTGGAGTCTCACTCTGTTGCCCAGTGGTACAGTCTCAGCTCACTGCAACCTCTGCCACCTGTGTTCAAGTGATTCTGCCTCAGCCGCCCAAATAGCTGGGATTACAAGCGCCCACCAGCTCACCTGGCTAATTTTTGTATTTTTAGTAGAGACATGGTGTTTTGCCATGTTGGCCAGGCTCTCCTTGAACCCCTGACCTCAGGTGATCCACCCACCTCGATCTCCCAAAGTGCTGGGATTACAGGCGTGAGCCACTTCCCCTGGCCCTCAATTCATTTTTAAATGGAAGGATTATGCTACTAAGAACCCAATCCCAGAAACAGTTTTGCTTGGCCAACGGTGAATAAGAATGTAGTTACATTTTTACATTACTTTGAAATAATATCTGAGACTAGTTGTTGAGGCCCCTTTGATTCTTTCTGTCATGTCTCCATCCTCCTTATCAGGAGAAATCACTATCAATACGTGGTGGGGAACAGAAGTGAGTCTATTGCAGCTGTACTTATCCGTATAATGCACTGTCCAAATGTGATGGCAGGTGCCATTCCTTTGGAAAAGGACTTTAATGGCATCTAGTGGGGATCCTGAGAGGAGTAGTCTGTTGGAAGTGGTGGGGAGGAAGGGTAACTACAAGGGCCACCTGTCCTGCGGGGATCTTCCCCATGCCCTTGCTTCACTGGAACCCTAAGGAAATGGCTGGGCTGTCTGAGGATTTCTTTTTCTAAGCTTTTATTTAAAATAAAAAAGAAAAGATTAGCATAAGAATACTGTTAAATACAATTTGGAAGAAAAAAAATGACCCCACTATTTTTCTAAAACTTAGTTTAAAAAATTATTTATTTGTTTTTTTGTTTTTGCCAGAGTTCTTTTGGCTAACAAAACTACCTCTATTTTAATATATTACTTTCCAATTTTTTTCTTAAATAAATAGTCACATCTTTTACACAGTTGCAGTCAGAGTGTACATGCACAGGGTAGTTATTGCTGTGTCTCACTGCATTCCTGAAACTTATCAGTAGGCTGTTGGTAGAACAGACCCTTCATTGCTTTGTACTGACTTCTGGGCACAGTAGAATCTAAGATAAAATTTCTTGAGAAAACGTAGCTCTGCTCTACCCTCACACACCCCTTATTCCTCCCACCATCCCAGTGAGGAGGAAACTGTAAGACTATACAATGTCTTTTGTAAGCCCTAGAGTTTTTGATGATTACTATTTTCTTTTTCTTTTTTTTGAGACGGAGTCTTGCTCTGTCGCCAGGCTGTAGTGCAGCGGCTCGATCTCAGCTCACCACAACCTCCGCCTCCCAGGTTCAAGCGATTCCCCTGCCTCAGCTTCCCAAGTAGCTGGGATTACAGGCACGTGCCACCACGCCCAGCTAATTTTTTGTGTTTTAGTAGAGACAGAGTTTCACCGTGTTGACCAAGATGGTCTCAATCTCCTGACCTTGTGACCTGCCCACCTTGGCCTCCCAAAGTGCTGGGATTACAGGCCAGAGCCACCACACCTGGCTGGTTACAGTTTTCTTTGAGAGGAACATGATGTATTTAGAGGGTAGATAAAGCTAGTTCATGTTTGTATGACCCTAAATGGGTACCAAACAAAGATAAGGAGTTCTTCACAATGCAGAATCTGTACTTTTTCTTTTTTATCATACATTGTTTAATGTTGCCAGTTTTTTAGTGATTGTTTTTATAGTCTATGTCTGATGTGTAATGTGTACTTTTTCTTTTGATTGCTAGAACTTTGCTTGTACTTGCCACATGAGTTGGAAGTGTACTGGTACGGAGCTGTAGTTTGCATTTTAAGTGCGTGATAGTGATTTGTTTTGCTTCCTTGCTGATTGATTGCACAATGATGATCTTCCCTTTTCACAGAGGAGAAGGCCAATTTGGAGAATAAGTTACTGGGGAAGAATGGAACTGGAGGGCTTTTTCAGGGCAAAACTCCTTTGAGAAAGGCTAATCTTCAGCAAGCTATTGTCACACCTTTGAAACCAGGTAAGAAAACATCTTAGAATAAAGCTCCTTGACAGAATGGTGGGACAGTGTCTTAGAAGCCTTAGGATCTGGGAAAACTACCTAAATGTTCTCTTTGTTTATTATTGGTGAAATGGGCTAATTCATTTCATGATGAATGTAAAACTAATGATGTGTTACACTTAAAAAAAAATCTCTTGGAGCTTAAGCTAACATAATTTTTTTTTTTTTTTTTTTAAAGATGGGGTCTGGTTCTGTCACCCAGGCTGGAGTACAGTGCCACAGTCATAGCTCACTGCAGCCTCAAACTCCTGAGCGATTAGTAGCTGGGACTGTAGGTGCTCACCACCATGCCTGGCTGATTTTTAAAAAATTTTAGTAGAGAAGGAGTCTTTGCTAGCCAAGCTGATCTTAACCTCTGGGCTTCAAGTGATCTTCCTTCCTCAGCTTCCCGAAGTGCTAGGATTATAGGTGTGAGCTACGGTGCCCGGAGGCTAACATAGAATTTTATTGCCAGATACGTAACCGTTTTCTTTTTACGACAAGATTTAATGTAACCTAACCTGGGTCTGGGTGGGAAATAAAACAGCAAAAAAAGAAGACTCTACTGCTTGCCAGTGTACAAGAATTATTTGAGTTATGTATCTGATTTTTTTTTTTTTTTTTTTTTTTTTTGAGATGGAGTCTTGCTTTGCCACCCAGGCTGGAGTACAGTGGCATGATCTTGGCTCACTGCAAGCTCCATGTCCTGGGTTCACACCATTCTTCTGCCTCAGCCTCCCGAGTAGCTGGGACTACAGGTGCCTGCCACCACGCCTGGCTAATTTTTTGTATTTTTAGTAGAGATGGGGTTTCACTGTGTTAGCCAGGATGGTCTAGATCTCCTGACCTCATAATCTGCCTGCCTCGGCCTCCCAAAGTGCTGGGATTACAGGCGTGAGCCACGGCGCCTGGTCGATATTTATCTTTCTATGCCTGACTTATTTCACTTAACATAATGTCCTTCAGGTTCATCCATGTTGCTGTGAATGACAGAATTTCATTCTTTTTTATGGCTAAATAGTATTCATTGTATGTGTATGCCACATTTTATCTGTTTGTCTGTTGATGGATACTTCAGTTGATTCCACATCTTGACTACTGTGAATAGTGCTGTAATAAACGTAGGACTGCAGATAGATATCTCTTCGATGTACTGATTTCCTTCTTCTTAGATATATACCCAGTAATGGGATTGCTGGATCATATGGTAATTATATTTTTAATTTTTTAGGAGCCTTCATACTGTTTTCCATAATACCTGTACGAGTTGACTTTACTACTAACAATATATAAGAGTTCCCCTTTCTCTCCATCCTCAGAGATGCAGAGAAATTTTTAACATTTTTCATAGTATCCATTCTAACTGGGATGAAAGGCTATCTCATTGTGATTTTTAATTTGCATTTCCCTGATGATTAGTGATACTGAGCATTTTTTCACATACCTGTTTGCCATTTGTATGTATTCTTTTGAGAGATGTCTATTCAGCTCATTTGTCCAGCTGTTGAGTTAGAGTTCCTTGTGTATTCTGGATATTACTCCCTTCTTTAATGAATAGTTAACAATATTTTCTCCCATTCTTTAGTTGTCTCTTCACTCTGTTGATTGTTTACCCTGCTGTGCAGAAAGTTTTAAATTTAATATAATCCCATTTGTCGGCCAGGCGCGGTGGCTCAAGCCTGTAATCCCAGCACTTTGGGAGGCCGAGGTGGGTGGATCACGAGGTCAGGAGATCGAGACCATCCTGGCTAACATGGTGAAACCCTGTCTCTACTAAAAATACAAAAAACTAGCCGGGCGTGGAGGTGGGCGCCTGTAGTCCCAGCTACTCGGAGGCTGAGGCGGGAGAATGGCGTGAACCCGGGAGGCGGAGCTTGCAGTGAGCCGAGATCGCACCACTGCACTCCAGCCTGGGTGACACAGTAAGACTCTGTCTCAAAAAAAAAAAAAAAAAATCCCATTTGTCTACTTTTACTTTTGTTGCCTATGCTTTTGAGGTCATGTTCATAGAATCTTTTCCCAGAACCATGTCCTAAAATATTTCACCTGTTTTTATTTTATTACTTTATTTATTTATTTTTGAGACAGTCTCACTCTGTCACCCAGACTGGAGTGCAGTAGTACTATCTCGGCTCACTGCAACCTCCGCCTCCCAGATTCAAGTGATCCTCCTGCCCCAGCCTCCCGAGTAGCTGGGACTACAGGTGTGCACCACACCCAGCTAATTTTAGTATTTTTACTAGAGATGGGGTTTCGCCATGTTGGCCAGGCTGGTCTCGAACTCTTGACCTCAAGTGATCCACCCACCTCAGCCTCCCAAAGTGCTAGGATCAGAGTCGTGAACCACCGCGCTCGGCCTCCCCGATATTTTTAGTTGTTGCATAGTTTAAGGTCTTACGTATCAGTCTTTAATCCATTTTGAGTTGATTTTTTTTTTTTTTTTTTGAGATGGAGTCTCGCTCTGTCCCCCAGGCTGGAGTGCAGTGGCGCGATCTCAGCTCACTGCAAGTTCCACCTCCCGGGTTCACGCCATTCTCCTGCCTCAGCCTCCTGAGTAGCTGGGACTACAGGTGCCCGCCACCGCACCTGGCTAATTTTTTGTATTTTTAGTAGAGGCGGGGTTTCACCATGGTCTCGAACTGCTGACCTTGTGATCCGCCCACCTCGGCCTCCCAAAGTGCTGGGATTACAGGTGTGAGCCACCGCGCCCGGCCTTGAGTTGATTTTTGTATATGGTAAGAAATAGGTATCTGGTTTCATTTTTCTACCTTCAAATATCTAGTTTGATCAGCACCATTTATTGATTTTTCAAATTTAAATTTTATTTTAGAGATGAGGTCTCACCCTATTGTCCAGACTTGTCTCAGAATTCCTGGGCTTAAACCATCCTACCACCTCAGCCTCCTAAAGCTAGCACCATTTATTGAAAAGACTGTCCCCTCCCCAAGGAATGTTCTTGGTGCCGTTGTCAAAAATCAGTTGGCTATAAATATGTGGATTCGTTCCTGGGTTCTCTATCTATTCCATTTATCTGTGCATCTGTTTTTATGATAGTACCATGCTATTATGGTTACTTTAGCTTTGTAATGTATTTTGAAGGCTGGTAGTTTGATGCCTCCAGCTTTGTTCTCTTCGCATAGGATTAGTTTGGCTACATGGGGTCTTTTGTGGTTCCATGTGAATTTTAGGATTTTCTTTCTTTCTTCCTTTGTTTTTTTCTTGAGACAGAGTCTGGGTCTTGTTGCCCAGGCTGGAGTGCAGTGGCCCAATCTTGGCTGACTACAACCTCTGCCACCTGGGTTCAAGCGATTGTCCTGCCTCAACCTCTGGAGTAGCTGGGATTACAGGCATCTGCCACGACCCCCAGCTACTTTTTGTAGTTTTAGTAGAGATGAGATTTCACTATTTTGGCCAGGCTGGTCTTGAACTCCTGACCTTAGGTAATCTACCGTCCTCGGCCTCCGAAAGTGCTGGGATTACATGCATGAGCCACCGTGCCTAGCCTGTTTATACATTATTTATGGCTGTTGTATCCTTACTAATTTTTCTTTCCATTTGTTTCATCAATTAGAGAGGTAGTGAAATCTCAGACTGTAATTATGGATTTGTCTCTTTATAATTTTTCCTTCATGTAGTTTGAAGCTACTATTAGATGCATAAATGTTTAGGATTGTTATGTCATCTTGATGAACTGGCCACTTTTTTTTATATATATATATATATATATATATTTTTTTTTTTTTTTTTTGGTTGGACGTGATGCCTCACACCTGTAATCCTAGCACTTTGGGAGGCTGAGGCGGGCGGATCACAAGGTCAGGAGTTCGAGACCAACCTGGCCAATATGGTGAAACCCCATCTCTACTAAAAAATACAAAAATTAGCCGGGTGTGGTGGTGCACACCTGTAGTGCCAGCTACTCGGGTGGCTGAGGTGGGAGAATCGCTGAAACCTGGGAAGCGGAGGTTGCAGTGAGCCAAGATCGTGCCACTGCACTCCAGCCTGGGCTATAGAGCAAGACTCCATCTCAAAAACAAACAAACAACATTTACATATATATACACACACACACATATATATACAAGCATATATATATGTATGTGTGTATATATGTATATATACATATTTATGTATGTTTGAGACAGGGTCTCACTCTGTCACCCAGGCTGGACTGCAGTGGAGCAATCACACCTCACCGCAGCCTCTACCTCCTGGGCACAGGTGATCCTCTTACCTCAGCCTCTTGAGTAGCTAGGACCACAGATGCCACTACCATGCCCAGCTAGTTTTTATATTTTTTGTAGAGACAGGATTTTGCCATGTTGCCTAGGCTGGTTTTGAACGCCTGGGCTCAAGTGCTCCACCCACCTCAGCCTTCCAAAGTTCTGGGATTACAGGTTGAGCCACTGTGCCTGGCCCCACTTTAACAGTTTGAAATGATCTTCTTTATCCCCACTGAAGTTCTTTGCTCTGAAACCTACTTTGCCTGATATTAATATAATCACTCCAGTTTTCTTTTGATTGGTGTTAGCATGGTGTGTCTATATTTAAAGTGCATTTTTTATAGGCAGCATATAATTGGATCTTGCTTTATTATTTAATATTATTGTCACTGCATTTTAATTGGAATAAGTGCATCTATTTTAGCCTTGATATGCTATGCTATTATTTTGTGTGTGTGTGTGAGTCTCTCCGCCCCAAAAATATTTTTTTAGGAGATGAGCCAAATGATTGTTCTCAAATGAATAATGCCTAAACTATGTTTTCATGGCCTATCTTTTCTTCCCTGTCATCTTGTTGCAGTTTAATTCCTTTATCAGGGGTCAGTTTATATGCTATGTGATTAAGTGCTGTTTCTTCCATGAAGCCTTTACTTGATTGTTTCTTTCTTACTCTGTTTTTGTTTTTTGTTTTTGTTTTTTTTTTTGCAGACAGGGTCTCACTGTGTCACCCCATCTATAGATCAGTGGCATGATCACAGCTCCCTGCAGCCTTGACCTCCTGGGCTCAAGTGATCCTCTTGCCTCAGCCTCCTGAGTAACTGGTACTACAGGCACATTCCACCATGCCTGGCTAACTTTCTCAGTGTTCCCATAACACTTTTGTTCTATTTCATTAAAAATGTTTATCAAGGCTGGGCTAGTAGTTCATGCCTGTAATCCCAGTACTTTGGGAGACCAAGATGAGAGGATTGCTTTAGCCCAGCAGTTTGAGACCAACCTGGGCAATATAGTGAGACCCCCATCTCTAATCTCTATTTATATAATATTGAAAAGCAAAAAAAAAAAAAAAGTTTATCAAAGTAAAACATGGCCACGGTAACATCACAATACTTAGAGTTTATGTTAAAATAACACCTTCCTCTTCCCATCCCTATCCCCTGTCCTTTTTCTCAAACTCTTATTGGTTTTGTTGTTGTTGTTGTTGTTGTTGTTGTTGTTTTAAGACTTTGAGTCTCGCTCTGTCCCCCAGGCTGGAGTGCAGTGGCGCGATCTCGGCTCACTGCAAGCTCTGCCTCCCAGGTTCACGCCATTCTCCTGCCTCAGCCTCCTGAGTAGCTGGGGCTACGGGCGCCTGCCACCACGCCCGGCTAATTTTGTGTATTTTTAGTAGAGATGGGGTTTCACCATGGTCTCGATCTCCTGACCTCGTGATCCACGTGCCTCAGCCTCCCAAAGTGCTGGGATTACAGGCGTGAGCCACCGTGCCTGGCCTGTTGTTTTTATATTTTGTTTTACAAGTGGGATCTCACTGTGTTGCCCAAGCTGGTCTCAAACTCCTGGGCTCAAGTGATCTTCCTGACTCTGTCTTCCCAGTAGCTGTTTTAACTCACTATTTTAACTTGTGTGGTTACATTCATAATGCCTGATAGTATGATTATATCAGCAGTATTTACAATGTTATGATTATGTAAATATTGTTCAATGCCAAGTCAGTAACTGTGATGCAATTTCATCCCTTCTTGGTTCTCTTTGGCTGTATTTAGTTGTATTGTCACAACTGCTGAGCCACATAAAGATGATTCTGACATCAAGAGATCAGTGGATTTGCTTTTCTTTAAACTTTATCAATTTCTTAAATTTCTGCCACATTTTATCTTGCTTCATATTGGACAATGACCCTTGGAAGTTATTACTGCTTTTTTGGGAGAGCATTATTATTTTTACTATCTTTTCTGCCTTGTTTCCTGGACCTTATATCTTTCTTCTGAATATACTCCTTTATTATGCAGGAGTGCATCCTGAGGAAACTTTCTTTTTATTTATTTATTTATTTTTTTGAGACAGAATCTCGCTCAGTCGCCCAGGCTGGAGTGCAGTGGCGCGATCTCAGCACACTGCAAGCTCCGCCTCCCGGGTTTACGCCATTCTCCTACCTCAGCCTCCCGAGTAGCTGGGACTACAGGCGCCCGCCACCTCGCCCGGCTAGTTTTTTGTATTTTTTAGTAGAGACGGGGTTTCACCGTGTTAGCCAGGATGGTCTCGATCTCCTGACCTCACGGTCCGCCCGTCTCGGCCTCCCAAAGTGCTGGGATTACAGGCTTGAGCCACCGCGTCCGGCGGAAACTTTCTTAAATTAGTACAGGAGAGGAAAACTTTGAGTTCTTATATATTTGAAAATGGCATTGTTCCACTTTCATATACAATTGAAAGTTTATCTTAATACGGCATTATAGATTGCAAATTATTTTTTATCACTACTCTAAAGACATTGTTCCTTTACCTTCTATTTTTTTTGTATCGCTGATGAAAAATTCAGTGCTTATCTAATTTTCGTTACTTCGTAAGTGATCTTTTTTTCTTCTTTATGGAAGCTTTCAGAACTTTATCAGTGTCCTGAAATGTCATGAGATTGTGTGTGGGATGCTTTTTTTAAAGGTAGTACCTGGCCGGGCGCGGTGGCTCAAGCCTGTAATCCCAGCACTTTGGGAGGCCGAGACGGGCGGATCACGAGGTCAGGAGATCGAGACCATCCTGGCTAACAGGGTGAAACCCCGTCTCTACTAAAAAATACAAAAAACTAGCCGGGCGAGGTGGCGGGCGTCTGTAGTCCCAGCTACTCGGGAGGCTGAGGCAGGAGAATGGTCTAAACCCGGGAGGCGGAGCTTGCAGTGAGCTGAGATCCGGCCACTGCACCCCAGCCTGGGCGACAGAGCAAGACTCTGTCTCAAAAAAAAAAAAAAAAAAAAAAAAGGTAGTACCTTAGGCTGGCGAATAGGCAAGTCCCGGATACTTCATTTCTGTTTCAACCAAAGTAGCTTTTATAAACTGGTCTTCTTATAAGGTTTAACTGGAACTAAGGATTTTGTGGCTTAGACGGGGTGTGTGTGTGTGGCTCATCTCCAATTATTTTCCTTGGGATTTGAGTGCTGACTAGCTTTTGGTCTCCCACAGTTGACAACACTTACTACAAAGAGGCAGAAAAAGAAAATCTTGTGGAACAATCCATTCTGTCAAACGCTTGTTCTTCCCTGGAAGTTGAGGCAGCCATATCAAGAAAAACTCCTGCCCAGCCTCAGAGGTAAGACTGTTTGGAATCTCAAAATGGTGGTTATGATAATAATGTTCAAAGGATAGTTACTGGACAGAGCATCTGTTATGTGTCCATACTGTGTTTTGGACACCTTTACGTTACTTTTTTTTTTTTTTGAGACAGAGTTTCGCTCTTTTGCCCAGGCTGTAGCGAAGTGGTGTGATCTCAGCTCACTGCAACCTCCGCCCCACCATGTTCAAACAATTCTCCTGCCTCAGCCTCCTGGGTAGCTGGGATTATAGGCACCTGCCACCACACCCGGCTAATTTTTGTATTTTTAGTAGAGACGGGGCTTTGCCATGTGGCCAGGCTGGTCTCAAACTGCTGACCTCAGGTGATCCACCCGCCTCAGCCTCCCAAAGTGCTAGAATTACAGGCGTGAGCAACTGCGCCCGGCTATGTTAGCTTTTAAAATCCTCATAATAATGGGTTTGTGTGGTTGGTATAAATTAAGAAAAATCCGTATAACATTTATGAGTTGTAGGTAATATGCTTAATTAATTAATTTATAGATAAGGGCTCAGAGATACTAAGTTGCTTGCTTAAGGCAAGTTTATTTCAGAGCCAAGATTCAAACCCTTATCAATCTGTTTCCAAAGGCCTTGTATGGATATAGTTGTTACATCTTCCTAATGTCAAATATCTTTGTTCTTCTGTATTACTTTAGCTTTTTTTTTTTTTTTTGAGACAGGGTCTTGTTCTGTCACCCAGGCTGGAGCTGGAGTGCAGTGGTGGCACATAGTTCACTGCAGACTCAAACTCCAGGGCTCAAGTGATCCTCCTGCCTCAGCCTCCCAAAGTGCTGAGACTATATAGGCATGAACCACTGCATTCAGCCAATAGACAAATTTTTATTTTATTTATTTTTGAGACAGAGTCTTGCTCAGTTGCCCAGGCTGGAGTGCAGTGGCATGATCATATCTTACTGTAGCCACAACTTCCTGGGCTCAAGCAATCTTCCCACCTCAGTCTCCTGAGTAGCTGGGACTACAGGCACAAGCCACTGTGCTCAGCTAATATTTTTGTATTTCTTGTTCAGAAAAAGTTTTACCACGTTGTCTAGGCTGGTCGCGAACTCCTGAGCTCACTGAACCCACCCACCTCTGCCTCCCAAAGTGTTAGGGTTACAGGCGCGAGCCACTGCACCCAGGCCAGAGTATGAATTTAGTTTTTATTTTTTATTTTTGTGAGATGGAGTCTCACTCTGTCGCCCAGTCTGGAGTGCAGTGGCCGGATCTCAGCTCACTGCAAGCTCCGCCTCCTGGGTTTACGCCATTCTCCTGCCTCAGCCTCCCGAGTAGCTGGAACTACAGGCGCCCGCCACCACGCCCGGCTGATTTTTTTGTATTTTTTTAGTAGAGACGGGGTTTCACCATGTTAGCCAGGATGGTCTCGATCTCCTGACCTCGTGATCTGCCTGTCTCGGCCTCCCAAAGTGCTGGGATTACAGGCTTGAGCCACCGCGCCCGGCCTCAGAGTATGAGTTTATAATCAGGGTTTAGTGTTTACCCTCTCTGTGGTTCTCTTGCTTCTGAAATTTTGCCTTAAAAATTTGATCTTTTTTTTTTTTTTTTGAGACAGGGTCTTGCTCGCTTGCCCAGGCTGGTGTGCGATGGCATGATCTTGGCTCACTGCAGCCTTGACCCCTCAGGCATAAGCAATCCTCCTGCCTTAGCCTCCCGAGTAGTGGAGGCTACAGGTGCAGGGCACCACGCCCAGCTAATTTTCGTATTTTTTGTAGAGATGGAGTCTTGCTATGTTGTCCAGGCTGGTCTTGATCTCCTGAGCTCAAGTGATCTGCCCACCTATGCTTCCCAGAGTGCCAAGATTACAGGCGTGAGCCACCATGCCTGGTATGTGCCATCTTTTTTTTTTTTCCCCCAGACGGAGTCTTGCTGTGTCGCCCAGGCTGGAAGAATGCAGTGGCGCAATCTCGGCTCACTGCCACCTCCGCCTCCTGGGTTCCAGTGATTCTCCTGCCTCAGCCTCCCAAGTAGCTGGGACTACAGGTGCCCATCACTACTCCCGACTAATTTTTTTTTTTTGCGTTTTTAGTAGAGATGGGGTTTCATCGTGTTAGCCAGGATAGTCTCTATCTCCTGACCTTGTGATCTTCCCGCGTTGGCCTCCCAAAGTGCTGGGATTATAGGCGTGAGCCACCGCACCTGGCAGAGTAGGGAAAGCTTTCTTAAACAGGACACACATAGAAAAGCACTGACCATAATGGGGGTGGCAGAGGTTGATAAATTCAAGCACATTTATCTAATTAAAAGATAAAGAGATGAAAATTCAACCCCTAGAGTGGGAGAAACTATTTGTAACACATGAATCCTACAAAGGGTTTATATCCAGAGTATACAAAGAATTACAAATCAATTAGTAAAGAATTGACAAGCCAGTAGAAAACAGGCAAACGACTTGAACTAGCACTTATGAAAAGGACAAACAAATGGCCGATAAACGTGAAAATGTACTCAGTTTTACTGATCATCAGAGAAAAGCACATTAATTTCCTAAGACCCACCAATCTTATTTTTTTTTAATAATAGCTAAAATGAGGAGATAACTCATCAACAGTAGACTGAATAAATAGTGGCATATCCCTACAATGAATATTATACAGCAATGAAAGTCAATGAATTAGAGCTGTGTGAATTGATGTGGTTGAATCTCACAAACATAAAGTTGAGTGAGATAAGCCAGACAGAAAAGAATACTTGTAGTAGTCTGGTTACATTATACAAAATTTTTTGTTTTTCTTCAAAACTAGCATACCATGTTTATATAATACATGCTTATTTGGTAAAGCAATAAGGAAATTATCTAATGATCACACTTGACGTCAAGATAGCAGTGGTTGTCAGTGTTCTTCTGTATCTTGGCCTAGGTGGTGATTTCATAAGGTCTTCCACTTGGTAGTCATTTAACTATTTTTGTTTTGGGCAGTTTTTGGTATGTATTAGATCTGTCACTATGCTCTTTGTTTTGTATTCATCTTATTGATTTATTTGTTTTTAGACAGAGTCTTACTCTGTTGCTCAGGCTGGCATGCAGTGGCACGATCATGGCTTATTGCAGCCATGACCTCCTGGGCTCAAGTGATTCTTCTGCCCCAGCTTCCTAAGTATTTAGCACCACAGATGCGCACCACCACTTGGGACTAATTTTTTAAAAATTTTTTGGGCCGGGCGCGGTGGCTCAAGCCTGTAATCCCAGCACTTTGGGAGGCCGAGACGGGTGGATCACGAGGTCAGGAGATCGAGACCATCCTGGCTAACACGGTGAAACCCCGTCTCTACTAAGAAATACAAAAAAAAAAAAAAAAACTAGCCGGGCGAGGTGGCGGGCGCCTGTAGTCCCAGCTACCTGGGAGGCTGAGGCCGGAGAATGGCGTGAACCCGGGAGGCGGAGCTTGCAGTGAGCTGAGATCCGGCCACTGCACTCCAGCCTGGGCTACAGAGTGAGACTCCGTCTCAAAAAAAAAAAAAAATAAAAAAAAAAAATAAAAATTTTTTGTAGAGACAGGGTCTTGATATGTTGCCCATGCTTGTTTGAACTCCTGGCCTCAAGCAATTCTCCTGCCTCAGCTTTCCAGAGTGCTGGGATGACAGGCATGAGCCACCATGCCCAGCCAAGTTTTTCTTTTTAATCACTTTACTGAGGTCACATTTATAGACACCAATGTATTTAAGAACTAAAATGTTATGGTTGAATTTAAAAAACTATCAACAAGAGAGATCAGATTTTTAGAGTGGAGAGAATAGCACTCCATTTTATTGCCCTTTGTAGTTTGACATCCTTTCACATTTCTGAGGAACATTTAGATATCTGTAGTATATATGTTTATTATACATTTTGTCAATTTCTCTACCATAGAAGATCTCTTAGGCTTTCTGCTCAGAAGGATTTGGAACAGAAAGAAAAGCATCATGTAAAAATGAAAGCCAAGAGATGTGCCGCTCCTGTAATCATCGATGAAATTCTACCCTCTAAGAAAATGAAAGTGTGAGTAGCCACAACTTCTTACTGCCAAGGGTAGACATATTGTACCTTGTATACCACTTGTAAGTTTCTTTTCTGAGTTTACACTTTAGATTGAATAGAATAAAATTAAAAATGGTACATCTGCAATATGTTTGGTGCACCTCAAGCTTGAGAAATGCCTAAAACTGTGACCATGGTGAGGTGAATTGTTACATGTGTCCTGGAGGGCACTCACATCTTAGTTGGCATAGGTTTTACCTCTTTTTGTTTTTATGTTTAATAACAAGCTGCATACATGTTTGTTCATATTTTTATTAAGAATATATTTTGCTGCAAGTAATAGTCTATTCAACTGGAGTGGTTTAAAGAATAATGAATTATTTGTTCACAGAGGTCTAAAGCAGTTAGCTGCTGGCTTTGGTTCAGTGGCTGATTTTTAGCTTTTTTTTTCATACTTGCTCTCAAGATGCTGCTCTGTATTTCTTAGCTTTTTTCTTTTGCTTGTTGTCTCATTGGCACAAGATGGCTGGTATATCTCTAGGTGTTGTATTTATGTTTAAGAGAAGAAGAGAGCAGTAAAGGAAAAAGGGCAGCATCTATACCAGGAAACTTAAGTCTTTCCCAACAAACCTTAAATTTCATTTCATTTGCCTAGACTTGTGTCACTTGGATTCCCTAGTTGCAGTAGAGGCTGTTGAAGCAAGTACAATACTTACTTGTAGTTTAGTGCGTTGATGCTCCTCCTGAAATTGGGGTTTTATTAATAAGAGAATAGATATTGGGATGGCAATTAACTCTGCCATTTGATCGTTTGATGGTGAGCAGTTAGAGTCCCTCCTTACTCTTCTGAACCACCACTAGGTAACTCTTATCTTGATAGAAGTTGGCTTTCTCAAAGTTTACTCATTGAAGCCATTAGTATATATGATGTAATGATACTATTGGAAGAATCATGTGGTCAAAGCATGCTTGTTATCCTATAGAATGAGAAAAGTTAATCCATATGCAGCAGATTTGGGGAGGAGGGTACAGGCTATGCTTCAGGGAATTGAAAACATATTTTTTGTTCTTTTGAACTCAAGTTCTAACAACAAAAAGAAGCCAGAGGAAGAAGGCAGTGCTCAAGATACTTCTGAAAAGAATGAATCTTCCCCAGAGAAAGCCAAGGGTAGACATACTGTGCCTTGTATGCCACCCATAAAGTAAGTTTCTTTCCTGAATTTAAACTTTAGAATGAATGGTGTAAAATTACAGACTTATATCTCCAATCTGTTTGGTGTACCTGGAGGTTGGGAAACTCCTGAAGCTTTGACCATGGTGAGGTGAATTGTTACATGTGTCCTGAAGGGTGCTCAGATTTTTAAATTTTTATTTAATTAATTAATTTTAAAGACAGGGCCTCATTCTGTTGCCTAGGTTGGCGTGCAGTGGTGCAATCATGGCTCACTGCATCCTTGACCTCCTGGGCTTACCTGATCCTCCCACCTCAGCCTCCCAAGTAACTGGGACCACAGGCATATACTATCATGCCTGGCTAACTTTTTTTTTTTTTTTTTTTGCGACATAGGCTCACTCTGTTTCCCAGGCTGGAGTGCAGTGGCACGATCTTGGCTTACTGCAATCTCCGCCTCCCAGGTTCAAACAACTCTCCTTGCTCAGCCTCCTGAGGAGCTGGGATTACAGGTGTGCACCACCACACCTGGCTAATTTTTGTATTTTTAGTAGAGGTGGGGTTTCACCATGTTGGCCAGGCTAGTCTCAAATTCCTGACCTCAAGTGATCTGCCCACCTTGGCCTCCCACAGTACTGGCGTGAGCCACCGTGCCCAGCCTACCTTTTACATGTTTTTGTAGAGATGGGGTTTTGCTATTTGCCTAGGCTCTCAAACTAGACCTCAAGCAATCCTCTTGCCTTGCTCTCTCAATGTGCTGGGATTACAGGTGTGAGCCACAGTGCCTAGCTGGTGCTCAGATCTTGAACAGTCAGAAAAATATACTGTTGAGGCAAATTTAAAAGAAATATAAAAGGAAAAAGTTAGCAATGGTTCTTACCATGTAAATGGAACATTTCTTATTTTTCCAACCTCCCTGCTGGGTTTTATCCAAGCCAGCATACATATTTTCACAATCAGTTAATATAAAACCTTGGGTTCTGCTTTATTGACTTGCCATAAGACTATTTCAGATTTTGTTTCTGTGCTGCTACAAAATCTTCACATTTATCCTTTTTTGATAGATTAATATTCTATCAAATTATATTTAACTATTTTCTGTTGAAAATGTAGTTTCCAGCTTTTCACGATTATAAGTAATCAGTCAACAACTTTATAGGCAGAGCCATTTCTTTGAGTGATCTCCTCAGAATAAGGAAGGAGAAATTCCCCGCAAGGAATGACCAGTTTTGTCAGTGTTGATATTTATTGCCAATTTTACTTCTGAAATGGAAGTACCACTTTATAGTACCGTCGACTTTTTTTTTTTTTTTTTTGAGATGGAGTCTCACTCTGTCACCCAGGTTGGAATGCAGTGGCATAATCTTTGCTCACTGCAACCTCCGCCTCCTGGGTTCAAGTGATTCTCCTACCTCAGCCTCCTGAGTAGCTGGGATTATAGGCATGCATCATCATACCCAGCTAATTTTTTTTTTTTTTTTTTGTGAGATGGAGTCTCGCTCTGTCGCCCAGACCGGAATGCAGCGGCACGATTTTGGCTCACTGCAACCTCCGCCTCCCACATTCAAGCAATTCTCCTGCCTCAGTCTCCCATGTGGCTGGGATTACAGGCACCTGCCACCACACCTGGCTCATTTTTTATTTTTAGTAGAGACGGAGTTTCACCATGTTGGCCAGGCTGGTCTTGAACTCCTGACCTCAAGGGATCCGTCCCCCTCAGCCTCCCAAAGTGCTGGGATTACAGGAATAAGCCACCATGCCCGGCCCCGGCTAATTTTTATATTTTTAGTAGAGATGGCGTTTCACGATGTTAGCCACGCTGGTCTCAAACTCCTGATCTCAAGTGATCTGCCCGCCTCAGCCTCCCAAAGTGCTGGGTACAGGTGTGAGCCACCATGCCTGGCCTGAAGTGCCATTGGCTTTGAATTAATATTTTTATTTTCTTACTATCTCTTCTGCATTGTTTGTTAACTTTTAAAATTGTTTTGGTTTTTTAAATTCATATAATATGGCATCAAATTATTTAAAAAATTTAGTTGTAAATTGATAATTTATAGTTGTATATATGTATGCAGTACAAAGTGATGTTATGATTCATGACTACAATTTGGAATAATTAAATCTAGTTAATTAACATATCCGTCACCTCAAATACCACTTTTTGTAATGAGAACATTTGGGGTGTTTTTTTTTTTTTTGAGATGGAGTTTCTCTCTTGTTGCTCAGGCTGGAGTGCAGTGGCGAGATCTCAGCTTACTGTAACTTCTGCCTCCTGTGTTCAAGTGATTCTCCTGCTTCAGCCTCCTGAGTAGCTGGGATTACCGGCACTTGCCACCATACCCAGCTAATTTTTGTGTTTTTAGTAGAGATGAGGTTTTACCATGTTGGCCAGGCTGGTCTCATACTCCTGACAGGTGATCCACCTGCCTCAGCCTCCCAAAGTGCTGGGATTACAGGCATGAGCCACCGTGCCTGGCTGGAATTTATTCTTTTAGTGTATTACTATTATTAATGATATCCTTCACCCTGTGCAGTAGGTCAAAAGAAAAATCTTTTTCCTCTTGTCTGAGATTTGTTGTACTCTTTAACCATCATCTCCCCGTTTCCCCCAACCCCCAGCATCAAATTATTTTAATTTTTATGTATTTGCTGACAAGATTGTATTACTGCTACTATTGTAAACATTTTTTCCATATTTCCTCTTGGGTGAATTATCTGTTTCCTTTTTATTTTTTTTCTTATTGGTAACCTTATTTGTCTATAAATGTCCTGGTGATATTTTCCTTACTAAGAATGGCTACTCTGTATTGAACGTTACCATGTGTCAAGCACTTCAGAGATATCATCTGATTGAACAGTCACAAATAGGATGTAAGCAAGAGTATTTACACTCTCATTTCACAGTGGAGAAAACTTAGGCTCAGGAAAGTTAAATAGTTCTCTCAAGATCATTACAGGCAGCAAATGAAATGACAGGGTTGGGATTTAGTCTGCTTTACTTCTGAGTTTCTTTCTTCTGTTACATGTATTTTATGTATATTAACCTTTCGTTGTAGATACTTTCCTCATTCTACTGGTCTTTTTTTGTTTTTGTTTTTGAGACAGGGCCTTGCTGTGTTGCCTTGGCTGGTCTTGAACTCTTGGGCTCAAGCAATCTTTTCGCCTCAGCCTTCCAAGTAGCTGGGATTACAAGTGCATGCCACTGCACCAGGCTTCTACTGGTCTTTTAGTTTTTCTTGTGGCGTACAACCTAATCTTTTTTGTCATTGTTGCTGTTGTTGTTTTTGGAGATGGAGTCTCACTGTGTTGCCCAGGCTGGAGTACAGTGCCGCAATCTTAGTTTACTGTAACCTCCACCTCCCGGGTTCTAGCAATTCTCCTGCCTCAGCCTCCTGAGAAGCTGGGATTACAGGCGCCTACCACTACAGATAGCTAATTTTTGTGCTTTTAGTAAGATGGGGTTTCACCATGTTGGCCAGGATGATCTCGAACTCCTGACCTCAGGTGATCCACTTGCCTCGGCCTCCCAAAGTGCCTGGGATTACAGGCATGAGCCACTGCACCCAGCCCAATCTAATCATTTATGATTATATTTGTGGATATTTTGTAATATATTCTAATCTATTTTAGTTATTTTCTTCTGAATTTTTTTCAATATTTTGGTATAAAGTGTGCATTTTCTTGTCTTTATTTATTTATTTATTTTTTGAGACGGAGTCTCGCTCTGTGGCCAGGCTGGAGTGCATGGCGCGATCTCGGCTCCCTGCAACCTCCACCTCCCAGGTTCAAGCGATTCTCCTGCCTCAGCCTCCTGAGTAGCTAGAATTACAGGCGTGTGCCACCACACCTGGCTAATTTTTGTATTTGTAGTAGAGGCGGGGTTTCACCATGTTGGCCAGGATGGTCTCAAACTCCTGACCTCAGGTGATCTCCCCTCCTCGGCCTCCCAAAATGCTGGGATTATAGACATGAGCCACCATGCCCGGCCAAAGTGTGCGTTTTTATTTATTTTCATGGTGTTATCTAGTTAAGTTAACATCTATTTATTAGATGATATTTTTTGGTTTTGATGATTATTTTATCACAGGTTAAAAATATTATATAATGCCTGTAGATTCTTTTGAGTCACTGAGCACCTTTCTCCTCTCCTCTCTTCTCATTTACTGATTTTCTCTTTAGGCAGAAGGTTCTAAAAAGTACTGAGGAGCAAGAGCTGGAGAAGAGTATGAAAATGCAGCAAGAAGTGGTGGAAATGCGGAAAAAGAATGAAGAATTCAAGAAACTTGCTCTGGCTGGCATAGGTGAGCTTGGCTATGGTTGACTGATTCATGAGGGGTGGTTCTTACACTCTTGCTAGGTGTTTTTGAAGTCTTTTTTTTTTTTTTTTTTTTTTGAGCCAGAGTCTCGCTCTGTCGCCCAGGCTGGAGTGCAGTAGCCGGATCTCAGCTCACTGCAAGCTCCGCCTCCCAGGTTCACGCCATTCTCCTGCCTCAGCCTCTCGAGTAGCTGGGACTACAGGCGCCCGCCACTACGCCTGGCTAATTTTTTGTATTTTTTAGTAGAGACGGGGTTTCACCGTGTTAGCCAGGATAGTCTTGATCTCCTGACCTTGTGATCCACCTGCCTCGGCCTCCCAAAGTGCTGGGATTACAGTTTTGAGCCACCGCACCCAGCCTACTACTTTTTTTTTTAGTTTGCATATAACTGAAAGGCCTCAAACCCAATAATACTCAATGAATATGACACATATATTAGTGTCCCTGAGGACTACTTCAAGTTTTGGGTTACATGTAGATAGTGAACAAAGTTAGATCCATGGTAACAGAAATAGCAAAAGGACTGGAGTAAAGGGGATTTACTGGTGTTCCTTATCTTAATGTTATCTGTGTGTTTTACTGTGTTCGTCACTCAGGGCAACCTGTGAAGAAATCAGTGAGCCAGGTCACCAAATCAGTTGACTTCCACTTCCGCACAGATGAGCGAATCAAACAACATCCTAAGAACCAGGAGGAGTATAAGGAAGTGAACTTTACATCTGAACTACGAAAGCATCCTTCGTCTCCTGTAAGTTGGTAGACTAAAGGAGCATTTCTTTTTTTTTTTTTTTTTTTGAGATGGAGTTTCACTGTTGTTGCCCAGGCTGGAGTGCAGTGGCACAATCTCGGCTCACCGCAACCTCCACCTCCCAGGTTCAAGCGATTCTCCTGCCTCAGCCTCCCTAGTAGCTGGGATTATAGACATGTGCCACTATGCCCGGCCAATTTTGTATTTTTAGTAAAGACAGGGTTTCTCCATGTTGGTCAGGCTGGTCTTGGACTCCCGACCTCAGGTGAACTGCCCACCTTGGCCTCCCAAAGTGCTGGGATTACAGGCGTGAGCCACCACGCCTGGCCAAATGAGCATTTCTGTTACTAATATTCATTTAGGATTTTACGTGTAGCATTTGTGGTCACTGTTTATAATAGTATAATTGAGAAAAAAATCTTTGTGTCTATAAAGTTGTGTAAAATATAACAGATCTTTTTTTTTTTTTTGAAATGGAGTTTCACTTTTGTTGCTCAGGCTGGAGTGCAATGGCGCGATTTCGGCTCACTGCAACTTCTGCCTCCTGGGTTCAAGTGATTTTCCCGCCTCAGCCTCCCAAGTAGCTGGGATTACAGGTGCCTGCCACCACGCCCAGCTAATTTTTGTATTTTTAGTAGAGACAGGGTATCCCCATGTTAGCCAGGCTGATCTCAAACTCCTGACCTCAGGCGATCCACCTGCCTCAGCCTCCCGAAGTGCTGGGATTACAAGCATGAGCCGTCATGCCTGGCCAATATAACAGATCTTATAGGAGAAATAGGGTTGGGGCAGACCAGTCAAATCTCATGCTGCTTTGTTACCAGAGCACCAACAAAGTCAGTAACAATCATAAGTAAAAATTCTAGTACTAATAATCTCCACTTGCATTTGTAGTCAGTATCATCATTTTTTGAAATTAGTTATTTGCATTCTTAAACCCTGAGGTTATGCTTCTTTCTTTGAGATACAGGTCCTTGAAGGATTTTGCTTCTAATTAGAGACAGTTTTATCAAAATTACTGGTTCAAGGAATAGGAATTGGCTTCTTCATCAGTCACTTTAGGGGATGTATGGAGAGATTCCACTGATTCAGGAAGCTGCCTGACCTGATGCAGACCCAGAGGCCCAATCATTTTTTTTTTTTTTTTTTTTTTTGAGACGGAGTCTGGCTCTGTCACCCAGGCTGGAGTGCAGTGGCGCAATCTCGGCTCACTGCAAGCTCCGCCTCCCGGGTTTACGCCATTCTCCTGCCTCAGCCTCCTGAGTAGCTGGGACTATAGGCGCCCGCCATCTCGCCCGGCTAGTTTTTTGTATTTTTTAGTAGAGACGGGGTTTCACCGTGTTAGCCAGGATGGTCTCGATCTCCTGACCTCGTGATCCGCCCGTCTCGGCCTCCCAAAGTGCTGGGATTACAGGCTTGAGCCACCATGCCCGGCCTTTTTTTTTTTTTTTAAATGAAGTTGAGGGTGAGATTCCTTTGTGCAGCACATTTTGTCTTCAATTCTAAGATAGCTTACTCTGGATTCCTTCAAAACATTGACATGGTTGGGGAAAAATTACCTCTGTACTATTCCAGAACATAAGATTTGTTAAGTGCTAGATCCTTTCTTCCTTTTTTTTTCTTTTTTTCTTTTTAATGAGAATAGACTAGTTATAACCCTTGCTCAAGGACAGACAAACTTCAGAATAATCATCTTGGTTTTACACAGGCCTTTTTTATTGATCCTCTGTGCCAACTATGTGGCTTATGGTAGATGTGAGCTCTTCCATGACATTTCATTTGGGGAACAACTTTTCTCTTTACAGGCCCGAGTGACTAAGGGATGTACCATTGTTAAGCCTTTCAACCTGTCCCAAGGAAAGAAAAGAACATATGATGAAACAGTTTCTACATATGTGCCCCTTGCACAGCAGGTTGAAGACTTCCATAAACGAACCCCTAACAGATATCATTTGAGGAGCAAGAAGGATGATATTAGTAAGTTTCCTACCAGTATCACTGTTGGATGGAACCTCTCCTATATTCCCTCTGCTTACATCTTAAGCACAGATTTGTCTTTAGCTGAAATCCTAGTTTTTCAATTAAAGTATGGCATGTGACTGTGCAGACAACAAATGTATCCTTCAGAATTTTTCAAGCCAACCAGCTATCTGTCTTATACCCATCAACCATCTTGATCCTCCTCATCAATAACTGGCCAAGGGGAATGAATTAAGGCAACCTGAGATGTTGTTACATGCCCTTAATGGACATTTTTGCCATGTGTCAAAGTGTCACATTGCATTTAGTTACCTATAGAAAATGAAGGCATTTCATTCATTCATTCAAGGCTATGTGCTTTTTATTCAGTGGTCCACCAAAATTTTTACTACTACTAACCAGGCACACTGTGTTAGGTGTATAGAGGTAAATAAAATGGACTTGGTGCTACTCAACATCAAGTTTCTAATTCAAGTTTCAAAACTCGACATCAAGTTTCTGACATCAAGTTTCAAAAGCCCTTACCATAATTTGTAGCGACCTATTTATCTCTGTCATTAGAGATAAATTAACTAGTTCTTTGCATTCTTAAACTGTCATTAGAGATAAATAGGTCACTACAAATTATGGTAAAAGCTTTTGAGGAGGAGGGAGATGCAAAAGTCAAAGGAGGTGGGAGATAGGGAGAGCATGTCTGAATGTTGAGAAATCTTGTCAGAGATAAAGAGGCTGAAGGTACGAGAGAGAGGAGATAACTAATGGATTAAGTCCCTGAACAGGCAGGTATTGGAGGGATACTTAGCACAGGTGAAGTGAGTGTTCTTTAAAAGGAGGATGGAAGAGTGGGAGGAATGGGTGCAAATACTGGGGGAGTCTGTAGATTTGGTGGTGAGCAGATGAGTGGATTCTAATTTAATAGTTTCTATCTTTATGGAAATAATTTCTACAAGAAGGAAGGTGAAATCTGAAGGGTGAAGGTGGTATAAAATAGTTGTTGGGAGTATAGGGATAGTATTCTGGATAAAGCAGAATGTGGTTGTTTTACTTTTGAGGATCTCTAAATTTTTTATATCCTTGCATAGGCATTTTTTTTGAGACAGAGTCTCGTTCTGGCTGTCATCACCCAGGCTGGAGTGCAGTGACGCAATCTCAGCTCACTGCAATGTCCATCTCTTGGGTTCAAGCGATTCTCGTGCCTTAGCTTCCTGAGTAGCTGGGATTACAGGTGTGTGTCACCATGCCCAGCTACTTTTTGTATTTTAAGTAGAGACCAAGTTTTGCTGCATTGGCCAGGCTGGTCTTGATCTCCTGGCCTCAAGTGATCCCCCTGCCTCGACCTCCAAGTGCTGTGATTACAGGTGTGAGTCACTGCGCCTGGTCAAGTGTAGCATTTTTAAATATTGTTATTATGTTCTAGTAGCCAAAATGATTTTGTTAGATTTTATAGTATGAAAATAATGAAATATTCTTCTTTATTCTAATGGAAATTTAAATATTAAGCATAACTTTTCAAATAATATATGACTCAGAGTCTGATATGTCATGCTTTTAGAATACTAGTCCTGGCAAATGGAAAGAGAAATTATACTATGCAATTTTTATTTAAAACTTTGTACAGTTACAGCTAAATAATGGTTATATGTATCTTTGAAACATGGCTTATTTCTAAAATAGATTTGGTTTTGATCTACCACTGTTACGTGACAAGACCTAAATTGAAAGATTCATTCTATATTAGTTATGAAAATTGACAAGGTTTCACTGGCCAAGTAAATTAGTATTTTCAGTGAGTGGTGGTGATATCTTAATATTGATGCTTTAACTTAGTTTTTAATTTTCTCCATTTGATTTTCTATATATAAGAGGTGGTCTTGTTGCTTTTATATTGATTTCATAAAATTGGGAGTTTTCACTTGGTCTTTTTTTGTTTTGATTTTTATTTATTTATTTATTTATTTTCCTTCTTGTTTTGCTTTTTAGAGACAGGCTCTTGCTCTGTCACCCAGGCTGGAGTGCAGTGGCATGATCATGGCTCACTTCAGTGTCCAACTCCTGGGCTCAAGTGATCCTCCTGCCTTAGCCTTCCAAGTAATTGGGACTATAGGTGCATGCCACCATGCTCACCTAATTTTTATATTTTCTTAAGAGACAGGGTCTCATTATGTTGCCCAGGCTGGTCTTGAGCACCTGGCCTCAAGCAGTCCTCCTGGTTTGGCCTTCTAAATTGCTGGAATTACAGGTTTGAGCCATTCTATTCAGGCTTTACTTGGTCTTTAGGAAGGCCTTATATCTTTTTTTTTTTTTTTTTTTTTGAGACTGAGTCTTGCTGTGTTGCCTAGGCTGGAGTGCAGTGGCACAATCTCGGCTTACTGCAAGCTCCACCTCCCGAGTTCACACCATTCTCCTGCCTCAGCCTCCTGAGTAGCTGGGACTACAGGTGCACGCCACCACGCCCGGTTAATTTTTTGTATTTTTAGTAGAGACGGGGTTTCACCGTGTTAGCCAGGATGGTCTTGATCTCCTGACCTCGTGATCCACCCGCCTCGGCTTCCCAAAGTGCTGGGATTACAGGCGTGAGCCGCCGCGCCTGACCAGGAAGGTCTTATATCTTAAAGCTGGAATAAGCAAAAATTTTTTGTGTTAATAACAAGCAAAATAATTGGCATTGTCAATAGAAAGTCTAGGCCTGGCCAGGCACAGTGGCTTAACACCTATAATCCCAGCAATCTGGGAGGCTGAGATGGGTGTATTGCTTGAGCCCAGTAGTTCAAGACCAGCCTGGGCAACATAGTGAAACCCTGTCGCTACAGAGAATATAAAAATTAGCTGGGTGTGGTGGTGCATGTCTGTAGTCCCAGCTGCTTAGGAGGCTGAGGTAGGAGGATCACCTGAGTCCAGGGAGGTTGAATTTGTAGTGAGCCATTATGGCCCTGCATTCTAGCCTGGGCAACAGAGTGAGACCCTGTCTCAAAGAAAATGAAAGCCAGTCTAGGCCCTTACAGTGATAAGGAACCTATCAGACCAGACATGGATGGATTTTCAGTTGAGAAGATGACAGTAGAGTTTACCCAAAGGCTACCTTAGTCATACCCCTCAATAAAAGAGGAATAGGGGAGAAGTAACTGAATGTTGGTTGGTTTTACCCATGTAAGCTGAGCTGAGGGTTGTGGGCCTGCCACTTTGTGGTTGGTTTATCCCTCTCTGGGCTACATAGGTGAATCAGCACTTAAAAGTAAACTGGGTCTTGCCAAGCTAGATGAACGTCTGTCATCTCTGTTTACAGACCTGTTACCCTCCAAATCTTCTGTGACCAAGATTTGCAGAGACCCACAGACTCCTGTACTGCAAACCAGACACCGTGCACGGCCTGTGACCTGCAAAAGTGCAGCAGAGCTGGAGGCTGAGGAGTTCGAGAAACTGCAACAGTAAGTCCCACTGGCAGTATCTGAGGAAGAGTTCCAAGAACCTGCCTACTTTATTTTCAGTTCTGTAAGGATGACAGTTGCTATTTTTCTTTCCGTGAAAATTTATGGCATTTGAGCAGTATGCTCTGCAGGCTACATCCCTGCCTTTATGATTTAAGGACTGTAGTGGGAATATGGAGATATCCTGGAGTATAAAGTGGTGAAAATTGAATCCAGGCTGGGTGTGGTGGCTCACACCTGTAATCCCAGTACTTTGGGAGGCCAAGGCAGGAGGATCACTTGAATCCAGGAGTTTGAGACCAGCCTGGGGCAACATGGTGAAACCACGTCTCTACAAAAAATACAAAAAAAATTAGCTGGGCATGGTGGCACACATCTGTAGTCCCACCTACTACGGGGCAGCCTGAACCCAGGAGGACAATGCTTCAGTGTGCCAAGATCATGCTACTACGCTCTAGCCTGGGTGACAAAGCGAGACTGTCACACACACACACACACACACACACACACACACACACCCCCGCACAAAATCGAGGTTGGAGTAGAAGAACTTACTTAGGATTTCAATTAAGGAGTGCCCTCTAAGGTTAGGTTAGGTAGATCCCACCCTTTTGTGACTCCTCAAGGTATTGTTACAGCTATTACTAGTGGAGGGAAATGGAAACTTAGTGTGGTTCATAGCGTTGGAGTTTATTTCCTATATCCTTCTTCCATTCCTTTTTGTGCTGCTTTTGAGGAGGGGAGCTTCTTCTGTGAAATGAAGCCTCAATTCTTAAGTGGTAGGGATGTTAGGACTGTCTCATTTATTCTTTCTTCTAGAGGTAAAGATAGTGTTGTGGAGAGTTGAAATTTTACTGTGTGTGATGGGTAATCATTTTTTCTTTTATTCTTTTATTATTATTAATTAATTAATTTATTTATTTTGAGATGGAGTTTTGCTCTTGTTGCCCAGGCTGGAGTGCAATGGTGCCTCTTAGCTTGCTGCAACCTCTGCCTCCCGAGTTCAAGAGATTCTCCTGCCTCAGCCTCCCTAGTAGCTGGGATTACAGGTGTGTGCCACCATGCCTGGCTAAGTTTTGTATTTTTAGTAGAGATGGGGTTTCACTATGTTGGCCAGGCTGGTCTTGAACTCCTGATCTAAAGTTATCCGTCTGCCTTGGCTTCCCAAAGTGCTGGGATTACAGGCATGAGCCACTGTGCCCGGCCAATTGTTTTTCATTTTTATTTATTTTATTCTGTTGTCCAGTCAATGGGAGCATAATTTTAATGATTACTATTCTTTGTGGTTGGCTCACTTTGTTTGTGAAGTTTTTATTTTATTAAAATTTTTTTTGTGGTTATTTAAATTTTTACCTTACAGATACAAATTCAAAGCACGTGAACTTGATCCCAGAATACTTGAAGGTGGGCCCATCTTGCCCAAGAAACCACCTGTGAAACCACCCACTGAGCCTATTGGCTTTGATTTGGAAATTGAGAAAAGAATCCAGGAGCGAGAATCAAAGAAGAAATCAGAGGATGAACACTTTGAATTTCATTCCAGACCTTGCCCTACTAAAATTTTGGAAGATGTTGTGGTAAGGTTGAGGCTATGCGTGTTGGCAGAAGTGTCCTGCTCATGACTAAATATCCACCCATTCACACAAAAGTTTGGGTTGATATTATAAGCAGGGCATCATATTAGGAACTGTAGGTGATAAAGAGACTTATCAGAGGTGGATTTTGCTCTTAGTTAGCTCAAAGTCTGGTATGGGAGATAATATATGTGTGAATAATAGAAAATAGACAGAAGTGTTCTGAGAGAGATGACAGTTAAAATAGGAATTCAGAGGAGAAAATGGTTTCTTCCAGATAGAAAGTTCAGGGTGTGCTTTGTAGAGAGGCACCATTTGACCTGAGCCTTGACAATATGTAGTAATAGTTACTGTCATTGGGTTGCTATTGTTACCATAATAGATGACAGTTTTACTATGTGCCAGGACTGCTCTAAGCCCTTTTCATATATTAGCCCATTAGTTTTGACAACAACCCCTTTCAGTGGGTTACTTTATCACCTGTTTTAGAGGAAGTAACCGAGGCACACAGAGGTTATGTAATATTCCTAGAGCACTCAGGTAGTACATGGTGGAGCAAGTAAGAGTTCAGACACTCTAGCTAGAGTCTGTGATCCTAATACTTCCTTATATTGCCTCTCCATTATATGATAGAATTTTGACTTGCAGAAATGCAAATGGACTGGATTGGCAGAACATTCCAAGCAGTAGGAATTACATGATAAAAAGCCTGATGGTGGGAAACATGAAGCTTCTACTGGGAGCTGTTAGTGGGTCAGTTAAGCCGGAGAAAAGTTTATCAAGAGCCACTGGAAACTGTTTCAGAGAAGTGGGTTGTAGTTTGATAATACACTCACAACCACAATTTTAGAGAAAATGTGCAATCAGGAAGCAAGGCTACAGTCACAGAATAAGCAATGGAGTTAGGCACCTGCATAAATGCGAAAGCGGCTTTTAGTTACATTTCAGTGCAGATGGGGACCTCACCCACCGCCAGTGGTTTGGATTGCTTGGATTGATGCAGGTCCAGGATTACTCTGGAAGCACTGTTTTCCTGTCTTCTTGCTTTTTGCTTGTTTTAGAGTCACCATGCTTTTAGGGGAAACTGCACCAATGTATTACCTTTGACTGAGTACCTAGTTTTGTTTGTTGTATTTTCTTAGCACTAAATCAGAAGCAACTTGAAGTTATATTTTCCAGGCTTTACAAAAGTCATGATTAGGCTTAGAAATGGTTCTTCTCGGCCGGGCGCGGTGGCTCAAGCCTGTAATCCCAGCACTTTGGGAGGCCGAGACGGGTGGATTACGAGGTCAGGGGATCGAGACCATCCTGGCTAACACGGTGAAACCCCGTCTCTACTAAAAATACAAAAAACTAGCTGGGCGAGGTGACGGGCGCCTGTAGTCCCAGCTACTCGGGACGCTGAGGCAGGAGAATGGCATAAACCCAGGAGGCGGAGCTTGCAGTGAGCTGAGATCCGGCCACTGCACTCCAGCCCGGGCTACAGAGCAAAACTCCGTCTCAAAAAAAAAAAAAAAAAAAAAAAAGAAATGGTTCTTCTCCCTGATACCTACTTTTAATTGAGGGCTTTTTGCATGAGATCTCTCTTCTGTTCACAATGCTTTTTTCCCCCTGCCATGAAGCACATGTACTATATGCCAAACTCTGTTACAATAAACTTTTAAGAAATCTTCCCCCACCCAAGTAATTAATCTCCAAGTTACAATAAACTTTTAAGAAATCTTCCCCCACCCAAGTAATTAATCTCTAAGGGCTGTGCCTTCTTTGTCTTTACCCATTGAGGAAACAGTGTTGTGAATACAACAAGGGAAAAGGAGGTTATATGCAAGCCTCAGAGTTCTAGAGCCAGAAGGGCTCAACGTTTAATTTTACATACTAGAAAATGGAGGCCCAGATAAGAGAAATTATTTCTTCAGGGTTTTTATAACACTTTTTTGGCACCTTGCTTTTGATTTTTTGTTTTGTTTTTTTGAGATGAAGTTTAGCTCTTCTTGTCGAGGCTGGAGTGCAATGGCGTGATCTCAGCTCACTGCATGATCTCGGCTCACAGCAACCTCTGCCTCCTGAGTTTAAGTGATTCTCCTGCCTTAGCCTCCCGAGTAGTTGGGATTAGAGGTGCACGCCACCACGCCCGGCTAATTTTTGTATTTATAGTAGAGATGGGGTTTCACCATGTTAACCAGGCTGATCTCTAACTCGTGACCTCAGGTGATCCACCTGCCTTGGCTTCCCAAAGTGCTGGGATTACAGGCGTGAGCCACTGTTCCTGGCCGGCACCTAGCTTTTAATAACATATTTTCCTCCAAGCTCCTAGCTTTTCCCCTTACCTAAGTTTTTGTTTTTATTTATATACCACTCTCTCAGTTTGTCCTATATCCTTGTACGTTACATACCAATATTATTATTTTAAAAATCAACTCACTTTGTGACCTAACGTAAATTTAAAGGGAACTTTTAAATAAATATATAAATGGAAAACCAGTACCTTTTGCCACAAATAACACAGCAATAATAGCTAATACTTATATAATGCTTATTATATGCCAGGTCTTTATTCTAAGCTCTTTACATTTATGTAATAATGCACTTAATTCTCACAACAACCCTATGAGGTAAGCACTGTGGGTACTTTATCAATCCATTTTAAAGTTAGGAAACATAGAGGTTAAATAACTTGCTCAAGATCACAAACTAGTGAGCGGCAGAACTAGCATATGAATCTTAGGTGATATGATTCCAGAGCCCATGCTGTTATATAAAAATAGAGGTTACCTTTTAAAATAGAAGGTTCTTAGGAAACATGTGCTTATTTAAAAAAAAAAAAAAGTCTACAACTCACCTAAGATCCTTTCTCATAGCATCAGTCACACCTGAACTACTGTTTTTTTTTTTGTTTTTTTTTTGAGACAATGTCACTGTGTTGCCCAGGCTAGAGTGCAGAAGTGTAGTGATGTAATCTCGGCTCACTGCAACCTCTGCTTCCCAGGTTCAAGTGATTCTCCTGCCTCAGCCTCCCGAGTAGCTGGGACTACAGGCACACCACCACTTTTGATTTGGGGTCCCGAGATTTATTTTCCTTTCACAGGGGAATGTAGCTTGCCCATGGAAACATTTAAAAGAGAGTAAGTCGACCAGACGTGGTGGCTTACACCTGTAATCCCAACACTTTGGGAGGCCAAGGTGGGCTGATCACCTGAGGTCAGGAGTTGGAGACCAGCCTGTCAAACATGGTGAAACCCCGTCTCTATTAAAAATACAAAATTTTTTTTTTTTTTTTTTTTTTTTTTTTTTTTGAGACGGAGTCTCGGTCTGTCGCCCAGGCTGGAGTGCAGTGGCCGGATCTCAGCTCACTGCAAGCTCCGCCTCCCGGGTTCACGCCATTCTCCTGCCTCAGCCTCCCGAGTAGCTGGGACTACAGGCGCCCACCGCCTCGCCCGGCTAGTTTTTTGTATTTTTTAGTAGAGACGGGGTTTCACTGGGTTATCCAGGATGGTCTCGATCTCCTGACCTCGTGATCCGCCGGTCTCGGCCTCCCAAAGTACTGGGATTACAGGCTTGAGCCACCGCGCCTGGCCAAAAATACAAAAAAATTAACCAGGGCGTGGTGGTGGGCGCCTGTACTCCTAGCTACTCGGGAGGCTGAGGCAGGAGAATTGCATGAACCCAGGAGGTGGAAGTTGCAGTGAGCTGAGATTGCACTGCTGCACTCCAGCCTGGGCAACAGAGTGAGACTCTGTCTCAAAAAACAAAACAAAACAAAACAGAGTCTTCGAACTTCTAGTCTTGAACTTTTACAGCAGAATTTAAGAGCCCACTTTCCAGAGCCTGATGCAGCTTATCTGTCTGATGCTGTTGTTCCCCATCCATGTCCCCCCAGTGTTGAAGCTGTTTCGTGTGTCCTTGCAGTGTTTCCTGTGCACTTCCACTTGTGGTTGATAAGTGGCAAGGGGACAATAAATAGGGTTGATAAAAGATGGGCTTGGGCAACAGTGGGCCCAAGTGAGGCAGAAATGAGAAAACGGCTCCTGGGGCAGAGGTGGAGTGACAAAGCCTTGAGCACGAGGGTGTGAAATGTGAACTTAGTACTGGCTATTGGGCAGCCGGGGCACCACGGAGGTGGATGTGGTGTCAGTGAGGCCAGTGAGTAATTTTAGCAGAGATACTTTAGGGATGACTTGGGGAGGCCAGCAGTCTTTTTTTAAATATATATACTTCCCAAAATAACATTGCTTCAGAGTAGTTTCCTAACTGCCCTGGGACAGGCCTGAGATCCTGTTCCAGGGTACCTGGGGGGCATATCCTGTCTTAGGGAGAAGTATTCACCTCAATATACCCATCCCCAGTCCTGGCTGCTTTTCCTAAATGCATCATCTGTCCACCAACATTGGCCCATTCTAACCACGTATCACCTCTTTAGAGATACCTTCCCCTTCATTGAGGGAGCATCCCTCTAATAACCATTAGCTCTATATTCTGCTGGGTTTCTTTAGAGCACTTGTGAAAATTTGGAAGTATTTGATTTGTTACTTCTTCATTGTCTCTTACCTCCATTAGAATGTGAGCTCCCTGAGAACAGGGACCATGTATATCTGTATTATTCACTCTGTATCTCCAGTCCCTAGCATAGTGACCACCACAGTACAAGAACTCTGATATCGGATAACTGAGTGAGTAATAGTACAAGCTGACATGCACCAGCCTGTGTTTCTAATTTGTGTTAGACATTAGGAATTCAAAGATGATACAAGACACTGCCCTTGTCCTCAAAGCTTTCATAGTCTGGTAGAGCAGATAGATGTGTAAATGAGTAAATACGGTAGTATTAACCAACATATGTTCATTGAACAGATACTACTGGGTCTTCTAGTAGGTAATATGGGAAGACAAAAGAATGCAAATGACAATATTCCAGTCCTCAAGGAGCTTATAATTTAAAAAACTTAAAACAGCAATTAAAAAAAAAAGAAAAGAAAAGAAACCTTCTCTGTTTCTGGAAACCCAGTTTTCTTTTCATTATTTCTAATTGAACCCCTAGTTAACTTTGATGTGAGGGAGGATGGGATGTGAGTGGATAGTTGCTGCAAAGACAATTTTCATAAATCATTTTTTCTTTTCCCCCAGCTAATTAAGAGATTGAGCTCACTCTTAAATATCTCCTTCATGGCCTACTTTTTAGAGGTTTCCATTGCTTCTCTTTAAAATGCAGACATTTCTGTTGGGTGAATGCAGAGAGAGGGAATTATTTTAGAACTAAATGAATCCTCAATTGCTTATTTCAATTACTTTATTTTATTAAAAAACCCTGAGGCCTAGAAGTGTATCTGATGTGTTCAAGGTTACACAGATTGGAAGCAGAGCTGGACTGGAACAGACAGACCCGTGGCTCCTTGCTCACTGTTTGTCTCTCTTCCACTTGCCCCTGGTGCATTCAAGCAAGATGCTAGTGTCCACATGTCTATAGAAGAGCAGATTTTTTTGTTGTTGCTGTTTTATGGTAAACATCATTTGACAACCCATTTCTTGGAGTTTTGTCACTCTGAATACAAGAGCTACTATACTGGATTTCGCTATGCTAATGATTCTAGTGATTTTCTAAAGAATCACTATGCTAATGATTCTTTAGAAAACATATAAGAAATTTCACAGCAGAATGAGCATTCCCAGTGGTCACCTTGAGAGACTGTAAATCCCTTCTGATGATTGTGATACTGCACAAAGCATTTTGGAAAAGCCATGCATCTTGAATCCTGAGATGAGCCTTTTGGATCCCTCCCAGGGTGACAAATCTTCACGTGTATTTGAAACTTTATTTTGCTTTTAGAATCTAGTCTAAGGTTATTTGGAACTAAAACTTCTGAGTAGTCCAAGATAATAGAGGTGGAAACTATTTGTTAAATGAATAGTAAAGATTGAGCAACTATCTCGCATGGTCCAGAAAGTGCCTTTGAAAGCCACTCCAAGAAAGACATTCCAAACATGTTTCGAACGGTTGCAGCATTGTTGGGATTAAGGAGAAGGCTCCCAAGGTATCCTCCTAGAGTCCAAGGTATAAATTCTATTACTCATGTGTTCATTCATTCTTACTGCATTCATTCAACAAACATTTACTGAATGCTTTATACTTGCCAAGGTCTATGTTAGGTACTTGGGACTGATGGAATAAAATAGTCTCCATCCTCGAAGCACTTAGGCTAGCAGGGGGAAATGAACATCTAAATAAATAAGTGCAATTAAGTTTTGTATGGACTGTGATGAAACCATATACAGTGGGATAAAGGGGTCAGTTCTGTAGGTCCTGGGAGTGGAGAGATCTATTGAAAGGCTTTATAAAAGAGGAAAGGCTTTATAAAAGTGGAGGCTTGAAAAGATGAATTGGGTGCTTTCAAGCAGCTGGGGCATTTCAGACAGAGAAAGCACAAGCAAAGGTAATGAGACAGGAACCATTTGGGGAGAGACCAGTAGTTCTTTGTGGTTGGAACGTGTTGTGTAAGGAGGGGTGAGAAGTAAGGCAGGAGAGTCAGGAGGGTACCAGATTAATGCTACTACTAAGGAGGCCATGAAGGAGATATTTATGAGTGAGATTCAAGCAAGTGCCTTGTGTTTCATGGCAAGGAATTTGTTATGCTGTTGTAGGTAGGCAATAGGAGCCATTAAAGAATTAATGTTTGTCTGTTTGTTTGTTTTGAGACAGAGTCTCGCTCTGTCGCCCAGGCTGGAGTGCAGTGGCATGATCTTGGCTCACTGCAAGCTCCGCCTCCTGGGTTAACACCATTCTCCTGCCTCAGCCTCCCGAGTAGCTGGGACTACAGGCACCCACCACCACACCTGGCTAATTTTTTTGTATTTTTAGTAGAGACAGGGTTTCACCGTGTTAGCCAGGATGGTCTTGATCTCCTGACCTCGTGATCCACCCACCTCGGCCTCCCAAAGTGCTGGGATTACAGACGTGAGCCACCGCGACTGGCCTGAAGAATTTTAAGTCAGAAAGTGATGTGATCAAATATGTTTTAGAGTAATAATTTGGACTATATGTAGACAATGAATTGGAAGAATGAGTTGCGGAACTGAAAGACTATTAGGAGACTAGCAGAATGGCACAGGCAATAGTTGATGTAGGTCTGGCAGTGAAACTTTAGGGAAGAGCAGAATAGAGAGCTGATGAGGGCAGGATGTGAACATGAGTGTAACAAGAAATTACTGAGGTTTTGTTTTGTTCTTAATCGATCTGGCCATACACTTCATTCAAAACAGCAGCCAAGAGATAGCATTTTGCAGTTAGGATTAATTGCCAGATTTGTGATGGAATATCAATTCTGAGCGAATTAAAAAATGCTATGGAACAACTCTCTAAAATGTATTAGTTTTAAATTATGCACACAATATGATACATGTCATTTATTCCACAACGATTTGAAATGTTAGCAGTGTTTTAAAATCATTAAGGAAAAATCTTCAGAGTAGTTGAATGTGTTGGAATTATGAGATATAAGGCTGAGTACAGTGGTTCACATCTGTAATCCTCACACTTTGGGAGGCCAAGGCGGGAGATTGCTTGAGGCCAGGAATTTGAGACCCATCTCTACAAAATATAATTAGCCGGGCATAGTGGTGAGCACCTGTAGTCCCAGCTACTCAGGAGGCTGAGTTGGGAGGATGGCTTGAGCCCAGGAGGCAGAAGTTACGGTGAGCTGAGATTGCCCCATTGCACTCCAGGCTGGGCAACAGGGTGAGACTCTGTCTCAAAACAAACAAACAAATAAAAGGATTATGAGATGTATAAAATTAAATTTCTCTCTTAATTCACCCTCAAAGAGATATGAGAGTTGACAATTTGGTGTTCTTTCCAGTTTGGTGTTCTTTTATTTTCTGTGCTTAGATTAATTATACTTTAAAAACTCAAAAATATCATTCTAGGGCAGGTGCAGTGGCTCACACCTATAATCCCAGTACTTTGCGAGACCAAGGCAGGAAGACTGCCTGAGCCCAGGAGTTTGAGACCAGCCTGGGCAACATAGTGAGACCCTGTCTCTGCCCAAAGGGGGAAAAAAGGATTTAATCTTCTCATACAGCTTAGTGGAGATCGTTTTGTGATATCTAATTGAGTTGCTTACTCCTTTCAGGGTGTTCCTGAAAAGAGGGTACTTCCAATCACTGTCCCCAAGTCACCAGCCTTTGCATTGAAGAACAGAATTCGAATGCCCACCAAAGAAGATGAGGTGATTCCCTGGGAGCAGCGGGGTTCTTTTTCCTTTATATAGTCAGTCAGTCTAAGCCTTATCATTTATTAATCTTAATGGAGTTCAAAGGCATCCATTCTTTTCTGGACTTGTCTTTAAGAATGGATATGAACATTTGTTCATTTTTTTTGTTCCTCCAAGAACAAAGTAATTGGTAAGGGTATGAATTTTCTGCTCTTAGTGATAACTAGTTACAATTTATGGAAACAGTAAGGAGAAGTTAAGCATTGGAGGCTTGTCTGCTGTAGCACTGAAAATCAGCTGCTCTTTGTAACATGGATCAAAAGTTGCACTTTATTTTGCCTTAGATTGTCACTATTCAGTGAGGGATTTTGAAAATTCATACTAAGCAATTACATCCACCTTGTCCTATTTCCATTAACCCAGGAGTTGCAAACGTGACCATGGTGATGGTTTATGGAATTGTAATATATAAACTGTCATTGATCAGGCCAGTTTCTTGTTACAGCTCCATTTTATCTATAAATATCCAGAGTTAGGGTAATTTTATAGCAGATTGCAAGCATAAGCCTTTTTATAGGTTCATTTGAAACTAAAATACGCAGTAATCTTGTGTTACCAGCTTGAACCCAAACAACGTGGTCCTATTCTGGGTTTGGCAACCATTAAGTCCCAGTCACATGTTTTAATGAAGTCTAGAGGCTGGGTCAAAGGGACTAAAGTATATGCTTGGTTGGGACCGATCTTCTGATGTTCATTTTATCCATAATGTTAGATCTTATTTAGTTTTTACAACATTCCTGTGGAAAACTTCATCTTTTAAGAGTAATTGTGTTAGCCCTTGGTGGTAGATGACTTACCTAAGTCATCATCCTTCTTGGATAGAAAAGGAAGCTAAGACACCTAAGAGGCTCAGTGATTTGTTTTAACTAATGCCACATGTTAATATAATGTCTTCTGACTCCACATTCTGGGGAAGTTAAGAGTGAGGAGTCTTATTTCTAAACTGCAATTTTTCCCTTAGGAAGAGGACGAACCAGTCTTGATAAAAGCTCAACCTGTGCCACATTATGGGGTGCCTTTTAAGCCCCAAATCCCAGAGGCAAGAACTGTGGAAATATGCCCTTTCTCCTTTGATTCTCGAGACAAAGAGCGTCAGTTACAGAAGGAGAAGAAAATAAAAGAACTGCAGAAAGGGGAGGTAGGTGTTTCCATTTCTGCAAGTAGTATAATACTGTTCTTTGATCCCTCAAAGATAGTTCTTTCTATAGTACTTTTAGCTATAAAATCACTGACTTTTGATCTTTCTAAGAACCCTATAAAATATAAATGGGACAAGTAATTTAAATAATCCTTCTGGCACAAGGAGGTTAAGTGACTTGCCTCTGATCACACTGCTGTTATAGGCAATATTAGGAGGAAAACCTGGATTTCCTTTTGAACCCATTATTCTTTTCTCCTAGACCATGCTGCTTTGAAAACTGATTGTCCTTCCTTATTTTTCAGATTCATCCAGATATTCTGGAGCAGCTATTGCTTTCCAGCTAGTCTTTATCTTAAATCTCATGTTTTCTTTTCTGTTAGGTGCCCAAGTTCAAGGCACTTCCCTTGCCTCATTTTGACACCATTAATCTGCCAGAGAAGAAGGTAAAGAATGTGACCCAGATTGAACCGTTCTGCTTGGAGACTGACAGAAGAGGTGCTCTGAAGGCACAAACTTGGAAGCACCAGGTAGGGGATGGGGAGAGCAGCCAAAACGTTAATTGCTTGGTTGATTGATTGGACAGGCAGACTCACCACACTGAAATCACCTGGGTTGACATACTAGATTGTTTCAGGGGCTCTCACTGTAAATCAGGGGTCAGTACATTATTTCTGTAAAGGGCCAGATAGGAAATATTTTAGGTTTTGAAGATTACATAAGGTCTCTCACATTTTGTGTGTGTGTGTGTGTGTGTGTGTGTGTGTACACGCACACATTTTTGTTGTTGTTTTTTGAAACGGAGTCTTGCTCTGTTGCCCAGGCTGGAGTACAGTGGCGTGATCTAGGCTCACTGCAAGCTCCGCCTCCTGGGTTCACGCCAGTCTCCTGCCTCAGCCTCCTGAGTAGCTGGGACTACAGGCGCCCACCACCACGCCTGGCTAATTTTTTTGTTTTTTTAGTAGAGATAGGGTTTCACCGTGTTAGCCAGGATGGTCTTAATTTCCTGACCTCGTGATCTGCCTGCCTTCGCCTCCCAAAGTGCTGGGATTACAGATGTGAGCCACCGCGCCAGCTACATTTTCAACTCTTTTTTTATTTGTTTGTTTTGAGACAGTCTCGTTCTGTCACCCAGGCTGGAGTGCAGTGGTGCGATCTCAGCTCACTGCAACCTCCGTCTCCCAGGTTCAAGTGATTCTGCCACCTAAGCCTCCCAAGTAGCTGGGATTACAGGCGCGTGCCACCACACCTGGCTAATTTTTGTATTTTTAGTAGAGACAGGGTTTTGCCATGTTGACCAGGCTGGTCTCCAACTCCTGATCTCAAGTGATCTGCCCGCCTTGGCCTCCCAAAGTGCTGAGAGTACAAGCGTGAGCCACTGTGCCCAGCCAACTCTTAAAAAATATAAAAAACATTCTTAGCTCAAGGGCTGTCCTAAAACAGGTTGCGAGCTGGATCTGGCCTGTAGGCCAGAGTTTGCTGACCCCTGCTTCAAGTGATCACCTGGGAACGTCCCTGCTCCAAGTGATCACCCGGGGAATGTGGGAACCGACCAGCTTTTCTGGAGTCGGGAGTCTCTTTAAGATCTTATCTATTTCATCTATTAGACTCATTCATTGTGTTTATTTCTTTCTGTTGGTGCACTGGTAAGAAACAGTAAGGGAGGATAGTTGTCAATGTACAATGCTGTTTTCTCAGCATGATGTGTTATTTGCTCTTTATAAATGACAGGTGATTTAAAACAATTAATTGCTTATTTGCTGATTTAATTGGGATCTAATTCTATCCGGCTGGAAAAAGTTTCCCCTGAATTTCTAAGTTTATTGGGATTTTTATGTCATCATTAATCCTGGACTCTTTCCAAAAGGAGCTCTAGGCTGTGGTTGGTTTGTAGGAATTACCCGTCCTGAAGCCCGAGAGATGTAATGGCTTTCATGACTGAAAGTTGGTCCCCTGTTGGTGTGATTCTCTAGGAACCTTAGGACTGTTGCCTTGGAAATAGTGAATTTCCCCTTCTCAATGACCAAGACACAGAATGTTTGTGTAGGGCATTTTCTGCAAATAACAATAACAAAAACTATTGTTTTAAAAAGCTATTCAGAAATATAAAAGTAGAGTGAATAGTATAATGAATTTTCATGAACCCATCACCTGGTTCTATAATGATCAAAACATGAAAAGTCTTATTTCATCCCTACTTCTACCCACTTATCCCTACGCTGGATACTTCTACCTATATAAGATTACTTTGAAACAAATTCTCTGTAACATCCCTTTTCATCCAAAAATACTTCAGTGTATATATTTAAAATATAAGGACTTATAACCACAATAATATTCTCACATTTAAAAAGATTAAAAGTAATCAAATATCTGCACATTTCTCATTACTTTTTAAACAGTTGAATTGTTAAAATCAATATCCATATATAGGTCTACATAGTGTCTTTGTTTGCTAAATCTCTGAATCTTCTTTCAATCTATAGGCTCCTCTCTTTGCATTTTATTTGTTGAATAAACTGGATTGTTTGTACTGTAAATTTTCCACAATCTGGATTTTGCTGATTGCATTCCCACACAGTTGTTTAACATGTTCCTCTGTTGCTTGTGTTTCCTATAAATGAGTAGTAAGATCTAGAGGCTTGATTCAATTCTGGTTAGATTTTTTTTTGGAGGTGGGAAGAATACTTTATAGGTGATACTGTATAGTTCCTAATGAATCATGTGTGAAGGCAGAAAATGTCTAGTTGTTTATTTTCATGATGTCTGGTCTTAAAAGTAACTTTAAAACTTTTTATTTTTTTAATTGACAAATAATAGTTGTACATATTCTTGGGATACATAGTGATGTTTCAATACATATAATGTGTAATGATCTGATCAGGGTCATTAGCATGTCAAGAATCTCAAACATTTATTGTTGGGAATCTTTTTTTTTTTTTAATTTAAAAGTAAACTTCAATGTTGAAAATGCAAACTTGGGAATCTTTTTTTTTTTTTTTTTTTTTTGAGATGGAGTCTTGCTGTGTCGCCCAGGCTGGAGTGCAGTGGCGCGATCTCGGCTCACTGCAAGCTCCGCCTCCCGGGTTCACGCCATTCTCCCGCCTCAGCCTCCGAGTAGCTGGGACTACAGGCGCCCGCCACCACGCCCGGCTAGTTTTTTGTATTTTTAGTAGAGACGGGGTTTCACCATGTTAGCCAGGATGGTCTCGATCTCCTGACCTCGTGATCCACCCGCCTCGGCCTCCCAAAGTGCTGGGATTACAGGCTTGAGCCACCGCGCCCGGCCGGGAATCTTAAAAGTATCTTAAAAATACTTTCTAGTTCTCAGTGAGTTCAAATGTTGTCAGACTGATCTGTTCATTATAAAGTTTGTGTGAGAGATTTTTACTAGGGTTTATATTAAATCTGCTATTTTTATTGATGAAACAGTTCAGACATTAGAACTTAAGTTATTGAGGTAGTGGTCATAGAAAGTTGAGGCATTGCTCATCTGACCGACTTTCTCTCTAATAGCTGGAAGAAGAACTGAGACAGCAGAAAGAAGCAGCTTGCTTCAAGGCTCGTCCAAACACGGTCATCTCTCAGGAGCCCTTTGTTCCCAAAAAAGAGAAGAAATCAGTTGCTGGTAGTATTATATGTACTCTGATGGGATTGGGGCAGAATTGTCAGACTTCCCAGTGGGATGCTGGGATTCAGTGTGTCGGTACAATGCTGTGTCAACTAGAAGCATTTGACTTTAGCAGATGGTAGCTTTTCTTCCCCTAGACCCAGTTTTTTGCCTTTATTGAACCCAGCAGCTATGTTGAGTTGCAGGATGTATTAGGGCCAGATTCATTTAACATGAACCTTGGCAGAAGCAGCTGGCATTTCAACAACAATGATAGGTTTTCCCCACCCATAGAGAAACAAGTAAATGAGGGAGGGAGAGCCAGTATGGCTTTCTGGAATTCACCCTGAAGCAAATTTTAGATATAAAACATTTGATTCCTTAAACACTGGGTAGTGTGCTAGAATATTGGGATTCCACCGGGTGTGGTGGCTCATGCCTGTAGTCCTAGCACTTTGGGAGGCCCAGGTGGGAGGATCACTTGAGCCCAGGGATTTGAGACCAGCATGGGCAACATAGCAAGACCCCATCTCTTTTTCAAAAAAATCATTCCAAAAAGGGACAAAAAGAATATTGGGCTCTTTCTCCTATGTCTGCCTCAAAATCAATCACTATGTAGTTTTGTGCAAGTTACTTTATCTCTTTGCTTGTTTCCCAATTACACTAGATGATTTCCAGGGGCCCTTTGAAGTCTTAAAATTCTAAAACTTTTTGTATGTGGTTTGCTCTACCTTTCTCCCAGTGGGGCTTGTTTAGAGCACAGTCTTCTTGTTAGTGTGCATGTCTGTGCCACTTGCTCATTCCAGGGGGCGTAGGTTTATGCAAGTCCTGCTTATGCACCAATATTTTTTCTGTTTCTGTACTTAGAGGGCCTTTCTGGTTCTCTAGTTCAGGAACCTTTTCAGCTGGCTACTGAGAAGAGAGCCAAGGAGCGGCAGGAGCTGGAGAAGAGAATGGCTGAGGTAGAAGCCCAGAAAGCCCAGCAGTTGGAGGAGGCCAGACAACAGGAGGAAGAGCAGAAAAAGGAGGAGCTGGCCAGGCTACGGAGAGAGCTGGTAACTGGGAGCATGAGCACTGACAAACACAGACATGCCTCTGTTTTATTTTACCTGTACCTTACCTTGTTCCAGACAGGATCTAAGGTAGCCCGCAAGGCTGTACCAAAGACAATGAGTGAAAGGGGGAACTGCACAAACTGAGGGTGGTGATGAAGTTGAGTTGTGAATGAAGCTAACGTAGGAGCTGTAATTTTGGCTCTTTTTAGGAACCAACCTGTCAGTTACAAAACTCACAGTGTTCATGAGACATAAGACAATTGTTCAAAAAATACATTTATCCCTTTGATAGTGAATTTTTAAACAGAATTTCTTCCAGAAGTTTTCATAAGGAGGACAACATGTGGTATAACCATGTACAGTGATGCCTTTCCTAGGACTGTTTTTTATTTATTTGTTTATTTTATTTATGTAACTTATAATTTCCTCTGGGGTTAAGAAGCACTGCTGAGTTTTGTAATTAGACAAGAATACATAGGGAAGGACATGGGAATTAAATGGCAACTGTATTTTTGTTTTAATACTTGGCCCAAACTCCTTGGAGTTACAGTGTTCATCGCTCCAGGTAGTCCTCCACTAACATAATTATTTAGATATTGGTTGTCCAAAAAGAAGCCTGAACTCCGCATTAAGGACGACTCTGTTAGGAGGGCAGCAAGTTGTGTTAACTGTGTTAATGAGGAAGCAGAGAGTTTTAGATGGAACTTCATACGATAAATAAAAAAAGAAAGGGTCATGGGGAGATATTGGTAAAAGGTTACTTAGTTACACTTAGATGGGAGGAGTAAATTTCAAGAGAGCTATCATATAACAAGGTGACTGTAATTAATGATATATTGTATTCTTGAAAAATGTAAAGAAAGTAGATGTTGTGTGCTCACACTACAATGTTAATTAGCATCTTGCTAATTAACATAATGCATTATCTCACATAGTAACCATTCCATAATGTATGTCTACTTAAAAATATCAGCAGTACACAATAAAAATATACAGTGTTATCTGTCAATTAAAAAGAAAGAAGGCCAGGAATAGTGGCTCACACCTGTAATCCCAGCACTTTGGGAGGCCCAGGCGGGTGGATCACTTGAGGTCAGGAGTTGGAGACCAGCCTGGCCAACATGGCGAAACTCGGACTCTACTAAAAATACAAAAATTAGCCGGGCGTGGTGGCGCGCACCTGTAATCCCAGCTCCTCGGGAGGCTGAGGCAGGAGAATTGCTTGAACCTGGGAGGTGGAGGTTGCAGTAAGCCAGTCGCGCCACTGCAGTCCAGCTTGGGGGCGACAGAGCAAGACTGTCTCAAAAAAAAAAAAAAAAAAAAAAGAAAAGAAAAAAAGAAATGTGTAAGTTGTTGAGGTTTTGTCTGAAGGTGCTGTACTATGGCTGGGTGTGGCAGCTTACACCTGTAATTCTTACACTCTGGGAGGCCAAGGTGGGAGGATTGCATGAGCCCAGGAGTTCAAGAAAAGCTTGGGCAACATAGCAAGGTCCCATCTGTATTTTAAATAAATAAATAAAATGCTAGGCTAGCAGTTGAAACAGCTATTGGCATAGGTGATTATGCCCATAGGAAGGTTCCACGGACACACTATTCAGGAGACTAGCCTCTTGGCAAAATCTAGACTACCATTTGCTGAGTGAATGAGAAAATAGTATAATCCCCACTCTATATACACTCATACAATCAGCTTTTTTTTTTCTGGCCTCAACTTTGATTTTTCTTTAGCACTTGGTACCTGCCTCTTGTGTTTGTCCCCATTATAGAACTGTTTCTTGCAGCAATTCTCAACATAGTGGATGGCAACATTCTAAAGCACGATTCAGTCAATGCTGGTTAACTCTGTACTAATCTGGCTTGATTTAGGATTGATTTTAGACTACCCTAAAGGATGGATGGGACCATGCCTTCTTTAGCCACCCTTCCTGGTATGGATGTTGTGTTTTATTTTGTTTTTTTCCCCAGGATTCAGGCTTTTGATGACTATTTAGTCTGCAAACTTAAGACTGTATTCTGGGAAATTCTTAGCTTGTAACTTCTCTGCTATACTTGAGTACAGCCCTATTATACCCTAGTAGATCACATAGGACATAGGTTTGACATTCTGTAGTGAAAGCTGAGGGACTTGAGGAGACTGCATGGCCTGAAGGAAAGCTGGGGAACCCTATGGAGACCCGAATAGAAACTGGGCTCCAGAGCACCTGCACTTTTCCGTCATACTGTGCTGCCCCCCAGGCCCTACTCCCCACACCTTAAACTAGTGACTGGTATCTATACAGCTCTACAACATTTTCTCAAAAAGAAAAAAATAAAAGCAATTGTAAGAATAGTTCTCTGACATCCCTCTCACTGGTAACTTTATTTAAACTTTATTTTCCTTACTTTGCAGGTGCATAAGGCAAATCCAATACGCAAGTACCAGGGTCTGGAGATAAAGTCAAGTGACCAGCCTCTGACTGTGCCTGTATCTCCCAAATTCTCCACTCGATTCCACTGCTGAACTCAGCTGTGAGCTGCGGACACCGCCTGACAATGGGACCTGCTCTTAATATCAAACCTGAGACCATCTTGCTTTGTTACTGGGCATGGAGAGAACCCATTTCTCCAGACTTTTAGCTACCCATGCCTGAGAAAGCATACTTGACAACTGTGGACTCCAGTTTTGTTGAGAATTGTTTTCTTTTTCATTACTAAGGCTAATGAGACATAACGCATGTATGTCTCGATTAGACTCCATGTAGTTACTTCCTGTAAACTTATCAGCTGGCCCTTTATATGGGTCTTCACTCTGATTAGAATTTAGTCTCTGTGTCAGCACAGTGTAATCCCTATTGCTATTGTCCCTTACCATTCTCCCCCTCCCCCCACTTTTTTTTTTTTTTTTTTAAATTTTAACCAGAAAATAAAGATAGTTAAATCCTAAGATAGGGATTAAGTCATGGTTTAGATGAGGAACAATCAATATATCAGATTCTGTCCTCTTCCCTGCATACAGTGAATTTATAGTTAAGGATCCCTTTGCTGTGAGGGTAGAAAACCTCACCAGCTGCACCAGTGAGGAAGAAGACTGCGTGGACTCATGGGGAGCCTCACAGCAGCCATGCAGCAGGCTCTGGGTGGGGCTGCCGTTAAGGCATGTTCTCTCCTTATTGGTGCTGATAAGAACAGGGAACCAGTACAGTGTGCATTTTAAGACCTAGCCTGGAATAAATGTTTTGTCTTCCCTCCCTGATTGTGTTATTTGATGTTTTTAAATCTGCTGAGCCCCTTTGGAGGTCACATCTTATTTGGGAAATGGGTAGTTTGAGAGGTGGGTCCAGGAACTTTTTTTAAAAGCACAGGCTATGTCCTTAAAGGAAAGTGCTTTGTAGTTTTTTTCTGTCTTATGTCAGAATATCTCTATATTCTGTTAACTCTCTCTCAGTAACCACTTAATCATGTATGTTATGCCTTCACACAGACTGTACCTTCTTTTTTTTTTTTTTTTTTTTTTTTTTTTTGAGACGGAGTGTCGCTCTGTCGCCCAGGCTGGAGTGCAGTGGCCGGATCTCAGCTCACTGCAAGCTCCGCCTCTCGGGTTCACGCCATTCTCCGGCTTCAGCCTCCCAAGTAGCTGGGACTACAGGCGCCCGCCACCTCGCCCGGCTAGTTTTTTGTATTTCTTAATAGAGACGGGGTTTCACCGTGTTAGCCAGGATGGTCTCGATCTCCTGACCTCGTGATCCGTCCGTCTCGGCCTCCCAAAGTGCTGGGATTACAGGCTTGAGCCACCGCGCCCGGCCTCAGACTGTACCTTCTTACCTAAAGACTCAGCTCAAGTTAAATTTTTTTTTTTTTTTTTGAGATGGAGTCTCGCTCTGTCTCCCAGGCTGGAGTGCAGTGGTGCGATCTCTGCTCACTGCAGCCTGCCGCCTCCCAGGTTCAAACGATTCTCCTGCCTCAGCCTCCAGGCGTGTGCCACCATGCCCAGCTAATGTTTCTATTTTCAGTAGAGACAGGGCTTCACCATGTTGACTAGGCTGGTCTCCAACTCCCGACCTCAAGTGATCCACCCACCTTGGCCTCCCAAAGTGCTGGGATTACAGGTGTGAGCCACCATGCCCAGCCTAAGTTAAATCTTTTTCAGAAATCTTTCCTTGACCCTCTGACTTCCTCAGGTAAAGATGTTCACTTCCTTCTTTGTGACTCCCAAATGTTTCTTGCATACATCTCGAGTAGAGCAAGTTATACTATATCTGAGTTACTTGAACTTGTTCACAAATTAGTAGAGATACAGATACGTAAGTTTTTGAAGAATTGCCATAGCCATCTCTATGTTTCTTGTGGCTGACACAGAATTGGCTTAGGTCCCTGTTAAACAATATATTTTCTTTTAGAATTCACATCATTTTTGAGTATCAATTCTGTCATTCATCGTGTGTGCTAGGAGATACAAAAGCATCTGGGTTCTGCCTAGGCTAGTCCTAGGTACCAAATATGACCTGAAACTTATTTTCTATTCATTTTTTTATTCAGTGAGCATTTATGAATCTCTTATATACAAGTCGTTGTAGTCCCAGCATTAGTTGACAAAGCAAGATGATGTTTCTCACAGTATGATTTGCAGATCCTGGTCCTCCTGAACCCCCATAAACTGATGTGTGAAGAGTGGAGAATGAAGGGGTGTTCTGGAACCAATTCTCCACGGATACTGAGGGATGATTGTGTATACCTTGGCACTGTTCTGGTCTCTGGGAGTAAGGCAATGAACAACAAAAAAAAGAAGACCTTGCCTTCATGGAGCTCACGTTTTAGTAGGCGAGATAGACAATAAGCAAATAATTTAAGCTCTTGTGTCAGGTGACAGATGTGCTGAATGCTATGTGAATAAATGGATTGGGAGTCAGGGGCATGTGAAATTGTAATTGGGAAGGTGAAGAGGATCTCTGCTGTTGTCCAGGTGAGAGCTGACAGTGACTTGGGTTAGGGTGATAGCAGTGGCAGAGAGGAGAAGTGGTTGGGTCCTGAATGTGTTTTAAAGTTGTAACTAACAAGACTTCCTAACAGATGGGATTTGGAGAGTGAAAGAAAGGTGGGCACCCAGGTGTCAGCCCCAAACAGAGACAGGGTCCATTCCTCATACTGTGAGAAATCCAGTTCTACCCTAGTCCTTTTATTTCTTGTGGGTTCATAGCAGCATTCATTTTTTTTCTGGTTACCTCTTGTTTTGTTTTTTCCACTTCTGCTCATCTCTTGATCTCTGTTCTATGTAGATTTTCTGTCTACTGGTATCAGCATTTCTCCTCTATCACTATCATTCATGTATTTCCATCTGGAATCATTTTTTTCATATATCTTGTCTGGTTTTGTTTCTTGTTGTTTCAGGCAGGGGAATAAATCTGGCCCTCAGATTGAGGGTTTTGAGAGTGTTACTGAGAATTATGGATGTGAGGGATCATTCCGCCCCATTTGCCCCATTCTGGATAATCCCCTGTGCAAACTCATGTCAGTGGTAATAAGTGACAGTCTGTTAGAGGCCACAAAGAGGAGTTACATTACTTTAGAGAAAGTATCTTAACATTGAGACGTCAGCATTCAGTGCCTCTTGCTTCCCAGAATTTCTGTTTCCCAGGGGCAATCTGTTTCTCTACCACATGGTCTCTTACTTAGTACTGAGCCCTCTTTTTCTGGACCACCTCACATCACCTTCATTTTTCTAGCACACTCCCATTTTTCCCAGAAACTCAAACTTTCTGCTTGCATTTTACAGAAAAATTACTTTTTTAATCCCTTCAGGCCATGTGCTAATAGGAGCATCATCTTTCTACACTCATAGGTCACTCAGGAATTTTCCTAAATAAGGAACATGTCTTGAGATACGAATTTACTGAATTTTAAGAATTTGGCTGCTACTCTTTGCTTGACTTTTTTTTTTTTGGAGATCTCGCTGTCACCCAGGCTGGAATACAGTGGCGTGATCTCGGCTCACCGCAACCTCCGCCTCCTGGGTTCAAACGATTCTCCTGCCTCAGCCTCCCGAGTAGCTGGGATTATAGGCATGCACCTGGCTAATTTTGTGTTTTTAGTAGAGATGGGGTTTCTCCATGTTGGTCAGGCTGGTCTTGAACTCCCGACCTCAGGTGATCTGCCCGCCTCGGCCTCCCAAAGTGCAGTGCTTACAGGCATGAGCCGCCGCGCCCGGCAATAATTCTTATACTAATTAATAGATGTATAAGATTACTGCTCACTCTTTGGTTGATTGTTTTGTCCTGTGTAATTGCTTGGTTACCAGTTTGATTGTTTTATTCCTTACCAGGTCTTTTCTGTAGAGTCTTGTCCCTGGGAAGTGGAACCAGCATGGTAGACAGACCGTGGTTGCAGTTGCTCCAGCGTTTTAACAGAGATGAGACCTGGACATGAATAATCGTAACACAAGATGGGATGTGATTCAGTAATATGAGACAGAGTGCTGTGGGAGTTTAGGGATTGTTTTTGAAAGTGAGGTTGCAGTTTGTAAAGATTTTTTTCTTTTTTTTTTAAAGTAAAATTTGCAAAAGTAGTACTGCCTTTTGGAAACAAGTAAAATGCTACTAACTGTGTGAAATAAAACATGAAAGTCTCCTTCCTTCCCCTACTCCCATGTCCCAGTGTAACCCATGGTTCACAATAGGATTCTTCCAGAACGTTTTCTATGAGCACACACATTTATAGAGTATTTTTAAAATAAATAAGATAGTAGCATTCTGCATTTTTTAAAATTTTAATTTGTTCTTTAAAAGATTATACATTCACATGGTTCTGAATTGAAAAGATACAAACATAAAGTATTCCTCCTACCTTTTCCTCCCAACTGCTCAGCTCCCCTCCCCAGAGGTAGTGCTGCCAGCTTCTTAAGTTCCCTTGCAGAGATGGTTTCCTCCTATACATACTCCTACCTACCCTTCTCCTCTAATTTTTTTACACAGATAGCTTCATACTTTACACTCTGTACTTCGGTTTTTTCATGCGTGTTGTGCATTTAAAAGATGTAGTTCAGGTGCTACCTCAGGCATGTCCTGGCTTCCTTCCTGACTGAAGTATGAAGCCTCTTATGACAATGCAGACCTCTGCATGATGTCCTGGGTTTGTGACCTGAGGTCCCAAGGACTAGAGGGCAAGACAGCAGCACCTGGTCCTCATCTCCTGGCTTAATTGAGCTTTGGGGGCTTGCGTATTGTCTTGAGTGTTTGGTTGAACCTGTGTATCCTGTTGGATCAATCTTGATACTGCTTCCTTTTCAGTTCTCTCGATGAAGGCCGTCTTACTGAATCTTGTCTGCTGGGGAAGTTCCTCGTTGCTGAGAGTAGCAGTTAAAAAAGCTGTTAGCCACGTGGCTGGGCTCCTATTTCTGCACAGGCAGGCTGAGTTACAGCTTGGTGGTGTGGATCCAGGTAGGAATTGGTCAACATTCTGAATCCTGAGCTGCCATCTGCCTTGTAGCCTGCTGGGATGCTCAGTTTAGACAACATATAAAGTTTCCTGGATACGGGACAAACCCAGGCCTATGGAAAGAGCAGGAAGGTTAAAGTGTGTAGTACTTTGGGCAATGACGAAGGCGTAACCAGGGAGCTGACATGTTTGCTCCAAAGCCAAGAATTCCAGGACAATTTGTTATCCAGCTGAAGCCAGTGTAGTTGCTACAAAAAAGCCTGGGGACAAAAACATGCTTTTTACTTGTTTCCCTGTCTTCTTGCACACCTACTCTGTTTTCTAATGCTGTAGTAAAGGTTGCTGACATTGGAAATGTCTGATGATTTTTGCTATTCTCCTTGTAAATGAAGAAGAATTGGGCTCAGGCCAAACCATGGCTCTTATGTGTTGAAAGTATCAGCTTCCTGAAACAGCTTCACAAATGCTGACATTTCACTCAGACCAGGAGGGTCAAGGGAAAGGCTTAAGCAAATACTAGGTTTTATCATGAAAGAATGATTTCAACAGACTAAACCTGGTCTGATGGCATCAAATGCCCTTCCCCCACCTTTTTTTTGGGCGGGGCACCGTGGCTCACACTTGTAATCCCAGCACTTTGGGAGGCCTAGGCTGAGGTCAGGAGTTCGAGACCAGCCTGACCAACATGGTAAAACCCTGTCTCTACTAAAAATACAAAAATTAGCTGGGTGTGGTGGCATGCACCTATAATCCCAGCTACTCAGGAGGCTGAAGCAGGATAATCGCTTGAACGTGGGAGATGGAGGTTGCCATTCCACACTCCAGCCTGGGCAACAAGAGCGAAACTCCTTCTCAAAAAAAAAAAAAAAAAGCTTTATTGGTCAAAGAGGAAATAGAAACCTGGGCTGTCAGATCTGAAGAGACCAATTTAGCGTGGGACTGGTGTCCCAGAACATTGCAGGTGTGTGAATGTGTGAAGAATTGCATCCAAGTGCTATTGCCTCGCTTGTTTGGGCACTGATGGTCTCAGGTGTTCTTTCAGGAGCAAGGGTGGGAGAAATTTCCAGTGGGTCAAGATACTAGTGAGTGGTAGTAACTTGTAATGTGAAAAGCAGTTTGGGGCAGCCTTATTTAAGCTTGCTTAGTGGTAAAGAGAGAGGAGAAGGCTTTAGCCTTGCACTGACACACCTCTATCACCATACTCAGGGACACTCTGTCACACAGATGAGTGGGGTTTTTTTTCCTTGTGTAAAACTTTGTCTGGTTTTATACATAGTAGAGCTTCTCTCTCTCTCTCTCTTTCTCTCTCTCTCTCTCTCTCTCTCTCTCTCTCTATATATATATATATATATATATATGGTATTCTTTTTCTTTTTCTTTCTTTTTTTTTTTTTTGAGACACTGTTTCCCTCTGTCGTCCAGGCTGGAGTGCAGTGGCATGATCTCAGCTCACTGCAAACTCCGCCTTCCGGGTTCAAGTGATTCTCCTGCCTCAGCCTCCTGAGTAGCTGAGATTACAGGCACACGCCACCACTTCTGGCTAATCTTTGTATTTTTAGTAGAGACGAGATTTCACCATGTTGGTCAGGCTGGTCTTGAACTCCTGACATTGTGATCCACCCACCTCGGCCTCCCAAAGTGCTGGGATTACAGGCGTGAGCCACTGTGCCCCACTGGTATTATTTTTCATTTAGCATAATAGTAACTCATTTTTCCTATATTATTGCATACTTTGTAAATACCAATTTTAACAGCAGGATGCTATTCCATTGTTCTGAATTTGCTTCTCCACATTGAAAGTGCTTGTTTTGCAAAGGATTTTTCTTAGCTCTATTTACAGGACAGAATTGTCTGTATTTGCTTCCCCCTAACACATCATGTTTGTCTCTAAACTTTATTATTATTATTGTTTACTAGTCATCTTTTATTTGGAGGTTTATTTTCATTTGGCTATAAAAGATTCAGCAATGATCACATTCCTCATGGAGGGGTTCTGGGCCAAGGAGGTCATGGTTAGGAGTGAGGAGTGTGCTCTCCACACTGGCCCCTCCTCAGTGGTACTTATGTTTGAGCTCCTTATAAGAAAGGCAGTGGCCAAAAGGCATATAAACTGCCAGCACCATGGAAACCCTGGCGACACTCCCCTTTTTCATGTTGTCATGCTTGTATTTAATAGTATCTGTGGTAACCTCTTTGAAATGCTTCAACAATGCCTTTGGTGGTAAAATCAGTATCCAGCTTGGCAGCTCCCCTAATTTGACATCCATGAGTTTCTTCTTCACTGGTATGACTGATGCCATTGTGGAGTCCTGGTGTCTGCTGTCTCTAAACTTTAAATGATTGCTCTCAAACCACTTACCAGTCTATGTTTATAATTAAAATATAAGCTCGAAAGCGAATAGAAGCCCTTCACAAAAGCATAGTTATGACATTACCCTGGCTTGCACATTTGCTGAATGGAAAGCTCTTTTTGGCTGATGTGATGTCAATGTTACTGACACCCATGTCCAGAGATGACGTTCATTGGCATTTAGTAAAGCCTTTCTGGAGATAATTCTAGTTATGTTCTTTAAAGTCTTGGGATGCCACATTTTCAAGTAGATTTGTTGTCTCTACTTTAGATCAGATTTGAAAGGAGAAAGCTTTTGGTCTTTCTTAACTCTACCGGGAGGTTTCTGTGTGGTGGCTCATGCCTGTAATCCCAGCACTTTGGGAGGCCGAGGCAGGTGGATCACAAAGTCAGGAGTTTGAGACCAGCCTGACTAACATGGTGAAACCCCTTCTGTACTAAAAATACAAAAATTAGCCAGGCATGGTGACAGGCGCCTGTAGTCCCAGCTACTCAGGAGGCTGCGGCAGGAGAATCGCTTGAACCTGGGAGGCGGAGGTTGCAGTGAGCCGAGATCATGCCACTGCACTCCAGCCTGGGCGACAGAGCAAGACTCCGTCTAGAAAAGCAAAGCAAAGCAAACAAAACAAAACAAAACAAAGACTCTACCTGGAGCTGTGATGTGTCTTTTGGGAGGAAGGGTGGAATTATAATCTCACTCCGGTTAGTGAAATGATGGGTGACCTTTAACAAGTTATTCCTCTTTTGGGGGCTTCAATTCCCACATCTGTCGAATAAGATTGAGTTGGAACAATTAATAAGGCTCCTTTCAGCTTAAATATTTTTAGATTTTTTTCTAGGCAGGTTTTTAAGCCAAACCAGCCCTACTTTTGTATTTATATGTCTTCTATAGCCAGTTGTTCAATCCCTGCAAGACAGCAAGCTCCCCTGTCCCTGGGTTTCCATGTGAACAAAGTGTGTTGGAGATCAGTGTTCTATCTTGTTGAGGATTTTCCAAGGGTTGTTCTGGAAATGGAAATCTAGCCCAGATCACTCCAGGGGACTAATCCCTGAATAATGTTGTCCCTTGACACGCACACATATTTTCTGATGTTTTTCTTGACCTTGGAACTGGTTAAAGACTGCACAGAATGTTCAATGAATTCTTGCAGGCTGCCACAAAGAAGTCCTTCCTATCCAATATATGATTTCCCCCCCAAGATTGAGATTATTTTGGAAGTGATCCTTCTATTGTTGGAGGCAGTTTAAGAATGTCACCATAAAACAGACTTCACCTTGTTCCTTTTCTGTTCTCTCCATTGCGATTCAGGTTTTACGTGTTCATGGTCAAGGAGACCTGGGTTATTTTTGGATAACTGGCACGGGGTTCAAGAGAAATACAGAATTATTTCATGGAATAAACCCTAGATTGGGAACTGGGAGAACTGCTCTTGCTTTCTGACATGTTGTTTATATTCTCTGGGTCTCAGTCTCCTCGTAAAAGTTAGAATGATATTGCTAGAAAGGACCCTTCCTCCAGCGCAGTGGAGGGAGATTTCTCTCCTGCTTTAACATGCCCCAAAGGCACTCTGGGCAGCAATGGTGACTGTTACCCACCCAGCTAGCCAGTGTGACTCAGTGTGGCCATGCTTGAGTCACATATTCAGTGTTTTCAGTGGCTGTGTAACCAGGGATTACCAGAAGCCTTTGCTGTTTACCCACAGCTAACAACCTGACAGGATAGGGTCAGCAGCTTCTAGTTAACAGCTGGCCAAAAGAAGCAGGGAGACGTCTCTGCAGGGGAGGAGGTTCGTGGGAGTTTGTGCAAGCAAGAGAGCCTTTTTCTCTCTCGTGGTAGTTTGTTACTGCAGCAATAGAAAACGAATGCGGGAAGCAACACACAGCACGCGTTCACTCAGGAGCTGGGAGGGGTTGCCAGTGTGCCTCCCCTTCACGAAATCGCTTCACTTTTTTTTTTGAGATAGAGCCTCGTTCTGTTGCCCAGGCTGGAGTGCAGTGGCATCATCCCGGCTCACTGCAACCTCCACCTCTCCGATTCAAGCAATTCTCCTGCCTCAGCTTCCTGAGTAGCTGGGATTACAGGCTCCCACCACCACACCCAGCTCATTTTTTTTTTTTTGTATTTTTAGTAGAGACGGGGTTTCACCATGTCGGCCAGGCTGGTCTTGAACTCCCAAAGTGCTGGGATTACAGGCATGAGCCACGCGCCAGGCCAGAGCTTCACTTTTTGTGCATCTCTCTCTCCTTGGAACATTTGCTGTACTGATGACTGGGTCTCAGTGTTCTGTGTTTCCCCACACATACCACAACAGTACTCTTGTGAGCTACTCAGAGGCCTAAGCTTCTTGGCCTGTGGGACTTTTATTCTCTAAGACAGTGGTCCTCAGAGTGTGGTGTGTGGCCCAGCAGCAGCAGCATCAGGGACTAGAAATGCAAATTCTCTATTCCCACACTGGACCTACTGAGTCAGGCACACTGAGGGTGGGGCCCAGCAATGTATATTTTAACAAGCGCTCCAGGGGACAGTGATGCATGCCTAAGTGTGAGGACCACTGTGCCAGGAGAGGGACCTGGAAATCCTGACAGACAACAGGTCTAACGCAGGTACCCATGGGCCAGGGAGCCAGCAGCCACTCTCTCCTGTGACCTTAGTGCCCAGCCAATCAAGAGCCTGTCTCAGGCTGAGAACACCTTCCTCCCTTCCACAGCCCCTTGGGGGGGGCCACCTTTGTACAGTCTGACTGAGTTAGACACGGGAGGGAGAGCTGCTGAGCTTGTTGAGTGGATGTTTATCTCCTTAGCCAAGACTCCATTCCCAGAATGAAGACGGAGGGAAGAATGCTTTTCCATATGTTCTTCCAACAAGTCATATGATAGATGAGGAAACCAAGGCTCACAGTTTAAGTTACTCATCCAAAGTCACACTGCTAATAAATGGCAGGGTCAGAATTTGGACCCAGGTCCATCTGCCCTCAGGTGTCCTTTCTACCACAGCAACTTGCATC